TTAGCTCAGCTTCCCGAAGAAGAGCCTCTTTAAAGGGAGCACTGTTTGGAATTCCTGGGTCTTTTCTAGGCTTTTTGCGACCCCGTTTTTTAGCCTCCTTCCTCAATTTTCGATGGTGCTCTCGAACCTATTATAAAAATTCTTATCAGTATCTGGCTAAACTTGGTTATACCTATAAAATAACCTAGAAAAGTTAAACTGTAACAACACAAAGAACATATGTACTTATGTATAAAGCAGCAAAAACATGTCATCAGGAGACTCTCTGCAGACATTAACATGTTGATCAGAGTTTACAGACTTATCACCAAATTACTGCACTTTCCTACAGCTATACTCCTGATGTCTAAGATTGTGCCCACACACAGTCTATTTAACTTCAAATTCATGAGGTGAAATCTTATTAATCCAAACCTCCTAGTGGAGAAGAGGTGGGACAGAAATGAGTTTAGCATTGTATTTAATGTAGCTCTTTCAAGCACAAGGCTTACCTTTTTAAGGATTTTATACCGCTTATGGCAGGTCATGCGTTTACTTGCTTTCTTTAACTCTACAAAGAAACCCATCACAAAACGATTAGACACAAGTGATCCGTTTTCGTTTTTAGTGACAGTGCTGGGGTGGGGAGGGTCGTCACATCACTTTTCCTATTTAGCAATTAATCAACTCTCAAACCTAATTTAAGAATCATATGTGGTGGATAGTAAATATAGGCCATTCTAAAACCTCCAACAATTTGACTCAGTATATCTGGCACAGAGCCCAGCTTCCTTACTCCCTCTCTTCCCACAGTAGACTAAAATCACACTCAGGAGCATGTGACCCCAAAGGGCAGGCACTTTTTTTTTTTTTTTAATGATTATTTATTTATTTGACAGACAGAGATCACAAGTAGGCAGAGAGGCAGGCAGAGAGAAAGAGGAAAGCAGGCTCCCTGCCGAGCAGAGAGCCCAATGTGGGGCTGGATCCCAGGACCCTGAGATCATGACCTGAGCGGAAAGCAGAGGCTTAACCCACTGAGCCACCCGGGCACCCCTAGCACACACCTTGAATCACAAGTTAGGACAGAACAGTGGATTTCAGAAGTGGCTCTCAGACCTGGCCAGTGCCAGACTGAACATGGCCCAAGAGAGGAAAATCCTGGGCCGCAACTGGCTCAGACACTGTTTAGGCAGGAGACCCAGGCCTCATCTTCACTTTTTCTTCTTTAAGGGTTTTATTTATCTGGGCGCCTTGGGTGGCTCAGTCGGTTAAGCGTCCGCCTTCGGCTCAGGTCATGACGCCAGGATGCTGGGATGAGTCCCCCATCCGGCTCCTTGCTCACCGCGGAGCCTGCTTCTCCCTCTCCCAGCTTGTACTCTCTCTGTCTTCGTCAAAAACTCCCTCTGTCTCTTTATTTTATTTATTTGACAGAGAACAAGAGGCGAAAGGTAAGGGGCAGAGGGAGAAGCAGACTCCGCGCTGAGCAGGGAGTCCACGCAAGGCTGGATCTCAGGACTCCGGATCATGACCCGAGCCAAAGGAAGACGCTTACGAGACTAAACAACCCAGGCGTCCCAGTGATCCTCACTTTTGTCTACCTTTCGTAAAACAGGCCGGCGGTCAGCGTGGGACCTTCCGACCCTCGCTTCTACTGGCGACCAGCACGACGGCCTATACGGAGGCTCACCCATTCCCACAGAAGAACGCCCCGGTGGTTCGTTGACCATCAGAGACAGAGGCCGCTCAACACCCGCTCCCCGACCCGACTCACTCGGTCGCTTCATTCCGGTAGCGACAAGGGCAGTGCCGGCAGTGACTGTAGAGGCAGCAACAGCAACCTGCGTCCCACACAGCCACGTGTAAATTGCGGCCAAGCTCGAGCGCCACGCACTGACGCTATTGCCGTAAAGAGCGCCGCCGCCCGCTCGCGTGCGCGCGCACGCAGTGTCGTGCGGAGCCGGGTTCGCTTGGCGGCCGCGGGACTGGTTTTGCGGCGGCACCGGGAGGGGTGAGGGCGGTGAGGGTGGCGGGTGCTGGAGCGACGGCAGCGGCCGCAGCCGGAGGAGCAATAGCAGCAGCCGTGGCGGCCACGGGGCGGGGCGCGGCGGTCGGTGACCGCGGCCGGGGCTGCAGGCGGCGGAGCGGCTGGGTAAGGCCGGGCCCGGGGCGGGCGGGGCCGCTCCTTCTCGGCCGGCTGCCGGGCCTTTGTGTGGGCCCGGGCGGGCGGGAGCTGCGGCGGAGGCCCCGCCCCGGCCGTGGGGACGCGCCGGTCGGGCCCGGCGCGCGGGGCGGGGCACGGCGGCGGGCGTCGGGACGGCCAGGCAGCCTGCCGCACCTGCCGGCCGGGACAAAGGCGCGCTACGGCCCGGAAACTCCCCGCTCCCTCTTTCCCGCCCCTGCGGCTGGCCGAGCGCTCGTCGCGGGCAGCTTCAAAGCTGTCAACGTTTCCCTTAGTCCCGAACCGGTGACAGGTCCGGGAAGTCTTTCATTTCTTCCGCAGGTCAGGGCCTCCTTTATTTTGTTGTTTCTTGACGGTTCGGACTCAAACTCAACTAGTTAAGAAATTTGTCTTAATTTTTTATTTTTTTTACATTTTCTAGATGACTGTGTTTAGACGGAATGTTTTTATCAATGGGACTTGTATTTATAGTAGAGGCTAGATTTTTAAGCATCTTGTCTTTTTGCAGCACCACAAAAAAAAATCTATGTTTTAAAACTGTATGTTTCCTAATTTTTAATAATTTCTCACCTCTTAAGATTTTTTTCTGAAAGAAGCGTAGTTTTGTTGTGATAGAGCGGATATTGATGATTTAAATAAGATTGGCAAAATGTAGAAGAAATACTGAAAAACAATTGGCAAATACACAGTATCGCAGATACAGAAATTATTACTATGGCTGTAAAACATATGTTGGAATAAAACATTCTTACTAACTTATATTCCAAAAAACTAGGACTCCTCAAAAATGATTTTGAAGTGATGTTCATCCATTAAGAGCAGTATGATTTTGCTTTTTTGTTTGTTAACAGATCGCCGGTATTTTAAGATTCGAAAGAAGATAGGAAAGTATCTTTTGAAAAAGTCTTTCCAATTTAAATCAGTAACAAAAATGTGCATGGATAAATGGAAGGGCCTTGATCGCTTTCTTTGGCTTTGGGTGTACAAAGTACCTCAAATATTAATATTCTACCCCAAACCTCAAGATCAGTAAATTGTGGTATATATACGATAGGCTATTATCAAGCCATTAAACATCATGGGGAGGAATGTTGATTTGGAAGAATCCTAAGTTAAAACACAAGTTGTGAAATAATATATATGGCTTAACACTTTTGCTTAAAAAATAGGCAAGTAAGGCATAGAATAAATACAAAAAGCTGTGAATGCCAGTGTTAAGGTTTTTTTCTTTTTCTAGAAAGAAGAATTATGGTTTTTTTTCCCCTTCAAATCCTGTTTTTCAAGATTTTTGTTCTAAGCATGTCTTACAGTATTGAGTATCATGAGAAATACAGGAGAGTATGATAAGTTTTTATACTGTCAAAATATACCATGTGGGTATAATGAGTCAATATTTTCCCAGTTGCACATTTTAAAATTATTCATTAGTGTCCACTGTAATTTATTGGTTGTCAGACTTTTGGACATGTGACTGTAATCGGTGCCATTTTAAAACTTGTATTTTAGCTCCAGAATCTATTTCCTCTTCATGGGAAAAGAATTGCTAAAGGGATGCTCACAGTCCTTTTAAACCACACAAACTTTTTTTAATGCCCCACTTATGTGTACTTTTAGTGTGTTTATTAAAAATATAAATTGACCATTCATACTGTACCAGATACAATTCTATAAGCCAGAGCTACAAAAATGAATAAAGTGCTATTCCTTTTCCCAGGGAGTTGTTAATCCTAGAGTTGAAACTTCTTTGTTGTGCTTTGAAGTTTCAAAGTGATTTCATGTACATTTCATAACCCCAATAATCTAAGGCAAATATGCACACCTGACTGTTCTCATTTTAGAAGTGAAGAAACAGCTCTGAGAGGTTGTGACTCAAGCAACATCAAATAGATCATTCGAAGTGGAGGACTTGGACTCACATTCTGGTCTTCGGAGCTCAAGTCCTGTTGCTTCTCCCACCTACCTGGCCACATCGCCTTTATTGCCAGACTTTCAAAATGCATTTAAAAACATGTCCTTCGGATAAGAAAATAATTGAAAATTATCCTTAAGTTGCATTTTTTTCTTGTTTTACCAAAGAAAGTTAATGATTTCAGGAGTTTGGGTTATTGTGTGCTCTAAACTGGTATATATACAGCAACAATTTACAGTTTTTTGTCGTTTGCTTTTCAGTGGATTATTTCCGAAAATAATTTTTGTTCACCTGCCAAAATGACTGAAGACTTTGTTTTTAATTTCTTTAAATTTGTGTGTGGTGTCTTTCCAACGCCAATAGGACTTTTGGAAAGAAATGTCTTTCTCTGAATTTTTTTTAGAGAGGGTGGAGTTTTCCAGACTCTGTTCACATGAGCCATTCTTGGTTTGTTCCAGCTTGCCAACACTCGGTGTCACATGTGAGCCTTCCACATGTGTTCACTCTCCATTCCAGCTCTGTGATTGAACTCTGCTCTTACTGACTAGGGGGCATTTGGGCAGGCATGCTTCATTCCTGGAATTGACAGTCATTCCATGTGAGTAAAGGGGAATCCCAGTGAGCCATCTTTAAGCATATGAAAAGCATTTGGTTTTAAAATGGAAAGAAATGTCGGTACTGTTAGTGCCTGAGCCTTTCAGCAGTTTGGCACAAGAGAACCGATACAGCTGTTTTCTCCAGTTCTCTTGTCTTTCTGTAGCAGTTCTACTTGAATGTTTTCTATCTACTCGTACTCATTTTTACTCCTTCTGACCTTTCTTTTTTATTTTCCCTTTCTCTGCCTTGTTCTTCTCTTTCAGTTTTGAATATATTAACACTGCATCAGCACTTCTAAAGCCCTGCCTTCTCCCACTGGCTTCACTTGGCCTTCAGACATAATGAGGAGACTGGCTTTTCGAGGAGCTGGTTGTGCTCTGGTAAAGCTGGTAAATTACTGATCATCTACACCTTTTCTCTTTTCTGTCCTTCCTTGCCTCTTCCCTTCCACTTTTCTTAAGTTTTGTTATCCTTTCCATAAAGTTTCCCTTGTCATGTTCATCAGATTCACTTGTGTCCTTGTCATAGCTTGTTTACCAAGGTCCTTCGTTTCTTCGTCTTAATGAACTGAGACCAGTTTATCAGCCTTTTATGAAACAAAATAAAATCAACAACACTTGGCTGTCCTTGGCTTAAGCCCTTTGAACCTTTTAGCTGTAGCTAATTGCAAACTAATGTACTGTATAACCAAAGCGAGAGGAAGGAGTACTGTCATGGTAGGCTGTTTTTAAATACCGTGTGGACCATAGTTCAGAGGAAGAGATAGGAGACTCCTCTTGTTTCTTAGTTGGTTACCAGAATGTTCTATTTGTTGGTTTGTTTTGCTCCTCCTTTGTGTTCCCTGGAGATCCCTAGTTTTTCTCTCCATGCCCACCAACAATCCATTCTTTCAGCTGCTGGTGTCTTAGTTTACCGACATTGAACGTTAATGAGTGAAACTGGAATCAGTTTTTTCTTTTAGTTTTGGAGACAGACCTTTGAAATCACAGTATACTATTTGATACTGTTGTTAAATTGTATAAGCATTATAGGACCTTCTCAGGTATATACCCTTGCCCTCTAGCTGTGGCAGATCATTGCAATTGTCGCATTTTTTGTGTTACAGTCAAATGTGTACATTTGTGAAGTTGTGTTAACATTAGATACTAGACAGCCTCCCTGACAGCAAATATTGATGTGTTTCTGGAAGGCCAACTAGGATCTAAAAGTTCCCCTCTGAGGTACTATTCCAGATCATCTGCTGAAACTTAAAGCTATGATTTCAGAATTCATGGGGATAGAATACCTCATATAACTGAAAAGGAGGTCAGTCTGATTGACAGAAAAGTTTCAAAACGGCTTTACTACTTTGACATAGGTATGGTAAGTCACATTAAGTATTTTCCAGGGATATATTTTGTGGCCTTCTTTAATGAATGGAGTGTGTTAATTTTAGAATTCATCTAAAATGCTAGAAGGTTAATTGTCCTCTGTCCCCTACACTTTGGCACTACTCCTTTGCCTCAGGCACTGATTACTATTTTTTTTCCACATCATGACCCACCTGGAAAATGATCAGAGTTGTTAGACACACTGGGGATAAGAGATGAAGCTGTTGACCCCAGAGGGGACTGCCTTGGGGCTTCTGTCCCTGGCTGCCTCAGGGGCTGAGGGATCAATACCTCCACGCTGGTGTACCCCTACATGTAGATTGTCAAAGTCCAGTGAGGAGTAAATTTGGGACCAGATGCGATTGGGTCATTCAAATGTGGTGACATATGATGGGTATACTTTTGTTGAATTTGCCCCATCTGAGTTAAAAGTGTAGCATTCTGGTAAGTGAAGGGGCTGAAGCAACAAGGTCCAGAACTTCCACTGAAAAAACTGACAGTTAAGTTTCCTTACAACAGTTAAAATATCCTCCTAAGTGAGCCAGAATCTGGGTAGCAAGTGCCTAGCTGAGGGCTTGGTGGCAGTGTCTAAATTTAAGTATAAGAACATGGCCAATTATTTCTTATAGAAGAAATTGGATTCCATGGGTTCCAAGAGAAGACGAGCTACTTCCCCATCCAGTAGTGTCAGCGGGGACTTTGATGACGGGCACCATTCTGTATCCACACCAGGTCCAAGCAGGAAAAGGAGGAGACTTTCCAATCTTCCAACTGTAGATCCTGTGAGTAACTCGCATCACACAGTTTCTTCCTGCTTTTCCTACTATTTCTTTAATGATAAGCAGTTAAGATGCAAGGCCTCACCACTTCTTTTTCCTCTGGCTTAATAGTCTTAATCTTTCTTTTATGGAAAGCATATATTTAGCCAATAGTCTTAATAGTTATAATTTAATATTAAGAAATAATGGTGGGTGGAGGGTGGGTGAAATAGTTGAAGGGGATTAAGAGGTACAAACTTGCAGTTATAAAATAAATAAGTCAGGAGCATCTGGGTGGCTCAGTGGGTTAAAGCCTCTGCCTTCAGCTCAGGTCATGATCCCAGGGTCCTGGGATCGAGCCCCACATCATGCTCTCTGCTTAACAGAGAGCCTGCTTCCCTTCCTCTCTCTCTGCCTGCCTCTCTGCCTACTTGTGATCTCTCTCTGTCAAATAAATAAATAAAATCTTTTTAAAAAATAAAAATAAGTAAATAAATAAATAAGTCACAGATAAAAAGTACAGCATAAATAGTATAGTCAACAATGTTGTAATAACATTATATAGTGACAGATAGGGATTATACTTACTGTGGTGGTAAGTATCTTCTTGAATCACTATGTTGTACACCTGAATCACTATGTTGTACACCTGAAACTAATATAATATTGTATGTCAGTTATATGTTAATAATACTTTTTTATTTAAAAATTTCATTTATTTTAGACAGAGAGTGAGCGAGTTGGGGCAGGGGAGCACGAGGGGGAGGGAGAGGGACAAGGAGACTCCACACTGAGCATGTGGATTCTGACTTGGGGCTCAGTCCCACAACCATGAGATTGTGACTTGAGCCGAAACCAAGCATTGGACACCCAAGCGACTGAGCCACCCTGGAGCCCCCCAGTAATGCATTTTAAAAATAAAATAAATATTTAAGAACTCTCAAAAAAAGTAATTACTCAGAATGTATTTAGAATAAGAAATTTGCATAAAGTTATTTCTGTTTTGATGAAAAGGTGTTTCTGTTTGATGAAAAAGTGTAATCTGCTGAAGCACATAATTCTAATTAAAAATAACCAAAGGACTTAGAATTCTACAGATCGGAGAATGGTAGACAATGTAATAGAAATATGAATAAAAAGTTTTTTCTAGGGGCGCCTGAGTGGCTCAGTGTGTTGCGCCTCTACCTTTGGCTCAGGTCATGATCTCGGTCCTGGGATCGAGCCCTGAATCAGGCCCTCTGCTCAGCGGGGAGCCTGCTTCCTCACCGCCCCCCCCCCCACTTGTGTGTGCGCGCTCTCTCTCTCTCTCTGTCAAATAAATCTTCTAAAAAAATATTTTTTTCTAGTTTTATTGAGATGTAGTTGACATCTAAAACCGTGTAAGTTCAAGGTGTACACTATAATGATTTGATCTATATATATTATGACATGAAGCCACAATTAGTTTCATATCTATCTTCACCTATAGAGGATCCCCCCAAAAAATGTTGTTTTCTTTATAATGAGAACTTTTTTTTTAAGATTTTATTTATTTATTTAACAGAGAGAGATCACAAGTAGGCAGAGAGGCAGGCGGGGGGACAAGCCAATTTTCACATGGAGCCTAGATTTAGTGTGACAGAAGCAGAATGTAAACAGATGGACAAATAGATAATAAAGTACCCTCAGCTAATGATAAATGCTAAGAAAAAAAAAAGTTTGGGTGAATCAGGCTGCTCGGGCCCAAACCTTGAGGGGTTTCTCTGTAATGGGAAGGCACTGGCCCTACACAGAACTGGAAAAGGGTGTTCCAGGCAGAGGGACCCAGTGCAGACGTGCTGGGTCAGGAATGGGTTTATTGTGGTGTGATTAGAGAAAGGTGGTCAAGAGGAAGAAGGAGACTGGCAAAGTCTGCCCAGATGCAATTTTATGTTTCAGCTTGACTGGGCTAAGGGATGCCCAGATATAGTTACTTTGCATTCTCCATGGTCAATGTTAGGAGTTTAGATTTTATTCTCTCAGTAGTAAGAAGCTCCTCTTTTGAATGACTTTAACCAAAAGAGTGATACGAACTAATTTAGATTAAGAGAACAAAACAATCACAAGTATAAATCTGATGAGATGCCAAGATGTTTAATTACTTAAATTTTTTTTTAAGTTTTATTTATTTAAGTAATCTCTGTATCCAGTGTGGGGCTTGAACTCATGACCCTGAGATCTAGAGTCAGATGCTCTTCTGACTGAGCTAGCCAGGCACCCCTAAGCAGTTAAATTATTTAAATAAGGAAATATTGTCAGCATGTTTCAGACTTGGGTTCCTGTGGGAAACTGGGGGATTTGTCCATTTTCTTCTCTACTTGCCTTTTATGGATATGTTTTTACTAAGGATGATCCTTATACCTACAACTGGCTTTCTGTTCATTTCTGATTTTTTTTTTCTTCTGGTGATTTTTTTTGTTTGTTTGTTTTTTTTCTCCACTTTTCCCATGTATAGATTGCTGTATGCCATGAGCTGTACAATACCATCCGAGACTATAAGGATGAGCAGGGCAGGCTCCTCTGTGAGCTCTTCATTAGGGCACCAAAACGAAGGTGAGTTGGAAGGTGAGTGGGAGGGATTTGGTCCTGGGTCCATGTGTACAGCGTTTCGTAATAGAGTTCTCCGCTGGAAGGAATGGCTTAAAGGATACTGGGGTCTAGATTTTAGTTTTGTCAAGATGTAATGAAGCTTTTTTTTTTTTTTTAATTTTTTTATTGTGAAATATGGCATAAAATTCATACATTTTACATTTTTAAGTGTACCGATCATTAAGGGTTTATTCATATTGTTATATAACAGATCTCCAAAACTTTTTAAAATTGCAGAATTGAAATTCTGTACCCATTACAATACTCTATATTCCTTTTCTCCTGCCGCCAACCCCTGGCAGTCACCATTACACCTCCTGTTGCTCTAAATTTGACTACATCCAGGGTCTTACGTAAATGGAATCATACTGTGGTTGTCTTTTGTGACTTCTTCTTTCACTTAGCGTAATGGTTTCAGTGGTCTCCATGTTGTAGCATATGACAGGATTTCCTTCCTTTTTAAGGCTGAATGATATTCCATTGTATGGATATACTATCTTTTGTTTATTTACGCATCCATTGATAAAACACTTCAGTTGCTTTTACCTCTTGGCTCTTGTGAGGAATACTGCGGTAAACACGGGCATATAAATACCTCTTGATGCTGCTTTCAGTTCTTTTGGATATATACCCAGAAGTGGCATTGCTGGATCTGATAGTAATTCAATTTTTAATTTTTTGAGGAACGACCATACTGTTTCCCATGTCACTGCACCATTTTACATTCCCACCAACAGTGTACAAGGGTTCCAGTTTCTCCACATCCTTGCCAAACTTGTAGTTTTGTAGTAAGTTTTGAAATCAGAAAACATGAGTCATCGTGATAGTTAATTTTATTAAGCCCAGCTTGACTGGGCTAAGGGATGCCCAGATATCTATGTTTATAAGGATGTCTCTGAAAGAGATGAGCATCTGGGTAGGAGACTAAGTAAAGAAGATGGCATTAACCAGTGCAGTTGGGTACCATCCAATCCCCTGAGACCTTGAGAAGAATGAAAGTGGGGAGGAAGGATGAGTTGGTGCCCTCTGAGCTGAGACATCATCTGCTTCTGCCTTTGGATCTCAGAGCTCCTTGTTCTTGGGCCTTCAAACTCATACTGAATTATACCACTGGCTTTTCTGGTTCCCTGGCAGATGACAGGTCTTGGACTTCTTGGCCTCCATAATCACACGAGCCAGTTCCTGTAATAAATCTCATCCATGTGTCTGTGCGTGTATATACATATATGTGTGTTTGTGTATATTTTCTATTGGTTATGTTTCTCTGAAGAACCCTAGTACAGTCTTCAACTTTGTTCTTTCTCAGGATAGATTTGGCTATTTGGGGCTCTTTGAAATTCCATATGAATTTCAGGATGGATTTTTCTGTTCCTGCAAAAAGTGCTGTTGAGATTTTGATAGGTGTTGCACTGAATCTGTGGATAACTTTGGGAGTATTGGTGTCTTAACAATATGTAACTTTTTTAATCCATGAACATGAGCTCTCTTTCCATTTATTTGTGTCTTTAATTTCTTTCTTTTTTATTTTTTTTTAAAGATTTTTATTTATTTATTTGACAGACAGAGATCACAAGTAGAGAGGCAGGCAGAGAGAGAGGAAGGGAAGCAGGCTCCCTGCTGAGCAGAGAGCCCGATGCGGGACTCGATCCCAGGACCTTGAGATCATGACCTGAGCCGAAGGCAGTGGCTTAACCCACTGAGCCATCCAGGCGCCCTTGTGTCTTTAATTTCTTACAGAAGTGTGTAGTTTTCAGTGTACAAGTTTTTTACCTTTTGTTTAATTTATTTGTAAGTTTTTATTATTTTTGATGCTATTGTAAATTGTTTTCTTCCTTTTTGGATTGTTCACTGTTAGTGTATTGAAATGCAACTGATTTTTGTGTGTGTTAATTCTGTATACTGCAACTTGGCTGAATTCACTTATTCTGCTGTTAATTTTTTTGAACCTTTAAAGTTTTCTGCATATGAGATCATGTCATCTGTGAACAGAGATAATTTTACTTCTTTCTTTTCAGTTGGGAGGCCTTTTCTTTTTGTTGCCTAATTATTCTGTCTAGGACTTCCAGTAATATGTTGAAAAGAAGTGGTGTAAGCAAGCATCCTTGTTTTATTTCTAAACTTGGAGGAAAAGCTTTCAGTCTTTCACCAAGTTGAGTATGATGGTAGCTGTTGGCTTTTCATGTATGGTCTTTATTATGTTGAGGTACTTTCCATTTATACCTAATTTGTTGAGTTTTATCATGAAAGGCTATTATTGAATTTTGTCAGATTCTTTTTTTGTAGCAGTTGAGATGATCACTCGGTTATTTTCCATCATTTGTTACGGTGATGTATTACTTTATCAGTTTTCATAGGTTGAATCATCCTTGAATTCCAGGAATAAACCCCTCTTGTTTATAGTGTATAATCCTTTTAATATGCTGCTAAATTCATTTTGCTAGTATTTTGTTGAGGATTTTTATATCAGCGTTCATAAAAGATGTTGGTCTGTAGTTTTCTTGTAGTGTCTGCTGGCTTTGGTATCAGGGTATTGGTGGCTTCACAAAATAAGTAACTTTTTCCTCCAATTTTTCAGGAAAAGTTTGAGAAGGATTAATGTTAGTTCTTCAAGTGTTCAGTAGAATTTTCCGGTGAAGCCAAAAGTCCAGGACTTTTCTTTGCTGGGAGATTTTTTTTTTTTTTTTAATTCTGGTATTGTTAACATAGTGTTAAATTAGTTTTAGGTGTACAATATACTGATTCAACAATTCTGTATATTACTCTGTGCTCATCACAATAAGTATACTCTTTAATCCCTGTCACCTTTTTCACCCTTCCCCTTACCATCTCCACTCAGGTAACCTTTAGTTGTTCTTTTGATTACCGATTTAGTCTCTGTACTAGTTAGAGGTCTATTTGGGTTTTCTGTTTCTTCATACTCAGTTTTGATAGGTTGTGTGTTTCTAGGAATTTATCTATTTCTTCTCGATTGTCCATTTTATTGGCATACAATTGTTCATAGTATTCTTTTATAATTCTTTTTATTTCTGTGGCATTAGTTGCAATGTCCCCTCTTTCATTTCTGATTTTATATGAGTCTTCTTTTTTTTTTTTATTTCATCCAGATAAGGGTTTTTCATTTTTGTTGTTTTTTTAAAAAAAAACAATTCTTAGCTTTTTTGTTTTTTTTTTTTTTGGTTTTTCTATTGTCCTTGTGATTTTTTTTTTTTATCTCTGCTTTGTATATTATTTCATTCCTCTTGCTTATTTTGGGTTTATTATGTTCTTTAGGTCCTTAAGAATGAAGCATCTTTTTAAAAATTACTTAGTGTTTAAGATAGCAGTGAAGTTGTAGCTATCATTGGTAAAAGGAATCAGTTTTTTAAATATACAGAGGCCACAATCGTTATTTTTATTTTGCTTTTTTTCTTTGTCCCCATACTTTTGGGCTTGACTTCCATGGTCCAATGAAGCAAAACAAATTATTGGCTGAATATGCACATTGCACATACCTCCCTATAGAGGCTGTGTTCTCCCTGACTAGATCTTCTTTCCTCTCTTGCTATCAAAATAACATCACTATTCCCCACTACTCTGTCAGTTGAAGTTATTCTGAAAACATACTGAAGTGTGGTAGACAGAATAATGGCCCCCAAGTATGTCCATGTTCCAACCCCTAGAATCTATGAATATGTTGGATTACATGCTAAAGAAAAATTAAATTTATCAACTAAACTTTGACTTGGAGAGATTATCCTGAATTATTCAGATGGGCTCAGTGTAAGGGTCCTTAAACAGGGAGGAGGGAGGCAGAAGAGTCAGAGTTAGAGACGGACTTGAAGATGCTACATTCCTGACTTTGAAGATGGAGAAAGGGGGCTACAAGCAAATGAATGCAGGCAGCCTTTAGAAGCTGGAAAGGATGAGGAAGTAGATTCTTCCCTAAAACCTCCAGAAGGGACACCAACACCTTGCTTTTTACCCCAACAAGACTCATGTAGGACTTCTGTAAGATAATAAAATTTGGTTGTTTGAAGCCATTAAGTCTGGTGATTTGTGACAGCAGCTTTAGGAAACGAGTACAATGAGTTAACTAAAGATTTAGATCCATTCATGATTGTTGATGCCGCAGTGGATAATGAACAAGCTGAAGGTTGAGCTCAAGTCAGACTTTTCACCCCACAGAGCAGAGCCATTAAGAATGCAGTATCAGCATCCTGAATTAAAGGATGTGAATTAGTCATGGCCAGAAAAGAAAGGTTCTTTTTAAAATGAGGTAACTGTCTCCAGATTTCAGTTGGTTTATCATAACGGTCTTTTAAAAGTTGTCATTTAATTAGCATATGATAATAAAATATTTATTGTTTACCACATGCTAGACACAATGCCAAGCACTTCCTTATATTGTTTAAACCTGAGAAGTATTAAAGTATTAGTATTGTGGTTTATCGATGAGAATTTTTACACAAGTTCTCAGAACTAAAGGATAACCAGGATGCATACTCAAGGCTTTCTGATTCTAGAACCTGTGCTCTTAACCAGTATGCTGGAGAGAGGAACAGCATCATACTGGACTACATAAACTCCTTGTAGAAAAGTACTGCCCTCTGCTGCCTGTTTCCCACCAGCAGGCTTTGGGGGGCTAGTGCACTGTCTTCTAGCCTCCAAACTGCGATACCCTGTGAGCACTGCTTGCCCTCCCCCAGTGCCGTGCCTGAGGGCACCTGTACCCCTCTGTGGAAAGTGTATGTTTTCTTAAGAGTTTGTGGGAAGCCGTAATGCTCAGAGGTACACAATTGTGAATCTTAGAGCATTTGAGACTTTGTTTTGATTAGTCTATTAAGCTACTTATGCTAAGACATCCAAATTAACAGTGGTTGAAACAAGAAAAATTGTTCTCAAATAAAAATTTTGTTCTATAAAGTCCTCAGGGCCTAGGTACTGTCTCTTTCCTCTGCTGTCCTTGGGGTGTCACTCCTGTCTGCATGGTCTGAGATGGCTCACCACCATAGCTGTCTTCCAGCCCAGTGGGTGAAGAAGGCATGTTAAGGATATGACCTGGATATGGTACACTTCAGCTCTTGTATTGGCCAGGACTTAGCTGCAACAAGGCTGAGAAGATGCTCGTTAGTAGTCACACAGCAGCTCAGAATGCTGCCATCCTGGAGATAAAGGAAAATGCGTTTGGGGGTAGCCAGCAGGTTCTGCATATCAGGCCCAGTATTTCTCACTTATCTGGTTCAGAGTGTCAGTTGTGATTTGGCTGTTCAGCGGCCATATCATGGCAGGGTGCCCTCGCCTGTTGTTGAAGGAGAAAAGCTGTTGTGCAAGAATGTGTACCTGCACAATTCTGTTTGTGTATACGTAGGCTTGGAGGTCGGGAAGAATACTAATAGTGCTTGTATCTCTGGATGCGTAGGGACAACTTATATTATCTTATGCTCTTCTGCATGTTGATTTAATTGGGAAAAATTAGTAGAACTCTTTCACTTTGAAAAGCGGAGGCCCTTGCGTTGACCTTATCATGTAGAGTGGAATGTTGGGATCCTGATCTCCTTTTGTTGGTGTGGTAAGTCTGAAAATGTTTGCGAGGAGCCCTCTCACAGAGCTTCTGGGAGAGAGTGTTCTTCTGAGGGTCATGTCCTCATTGGGTTCTCAGTTGTCTACAGATAATCCCCCAAGCCTGAGAGGCTGCTGAGGTCCAGCCTCAGCAAGGAGCAGAGTGGACTGTGGCCCATCGGGCCCAGGTGGAGAGAGCCATGTGGATATCAGGTTAACAAAGCCCTAAAAAAGCTCTAAAGCTCACCCTGAGAAGGTCCTTTGGCACCACTGACAACAGCAGCATTAGGCCTGGATGGTCCTTTGTTATTACTCACCAAGACCTTTATGTTCCTGCATTTTCTCCAAATAGCAGAATGAGTACTCCTTTTACTCCTCACACTTAATTTCATAGTTCACTAAAATCATAAATAATTGATAAGAGCTTTTTTAAAAAAACTCAATCTATTTTTCCTCTTCTTTTCCCTTCCTGAAGAATTTAATCCAAAAGCCATTAGGTGAGACTGAGCAAACTTGGCATCTGTTGGGAAGACAGGTGGTGTGGTGTGGTGGGGAGGGTTGTGGGTAGTAACAATATCACACATCACGGATTGTCAGAACCTGGGCGTGGTAAACGGGTTTTATGCTGAAGGACTTCCTGGCACAGCATGCTGAGGCCTAAGTGGAGGGAGGATGATATAGTGGTGGCAGTGGTCTGTCATGGGTAGGGTAAGGAGGACATCCACATGAGGGGTGGCCTAGCCCAGGGCAGGGGGTCATAGCCTTAGTGAGGAGAGGAGAAGCATTATGGGGTGGAGGTAGATAGCAGCAAGAGGAGATGGGTTATATACAGAAGACCAATCGTATGTAAATACATTGTCAGTACTAGGACTCAGGCTTCTCATTATCTGAGAAAGGGAGTACAAGCAGGAAAAGGAAAGTAGATCGAACTCTGTGGTGTAGGATTGGAATTGGAAATGTTGGTGTGAATTCATGTTTCCCAGCATATGTAGATACTAGAAATGTAGCTATAGATGAGTATGTCTGTCCCCAGCTTTGTCCATTGAGACAGCCTGAGAGCAGTAACACACCAGTATATGTGAGCACATCCAGCACCTCAGACTTCATTTTTAAATACCATTTACCATTGCAAAGAACTAGAGTTCTTTGGGGAAATCACTGATTTTAAGGGCAAGGAAAGTATAAGATGAACCTTACCATCTTAGGCTGCCAAAAAGTAAGCAACTGTTCAGAGGGTGATGGGAGCATGTCAGAAGCACGTAGAGAGTACACACCATCTTGTGAGGACGCCTCCTGGCCCAACTTTGAGCACTTGGAGCCTCAGAATAATTAATGTCATGGGTTTTAATGACTTCCAAGTAGGAATCTGGGGATCCATATTGATATAAATAAATGAGCAAATTGATTAGGAATGGACTCATAGTCTGGAGGTAACACTCCATAAAGTACAGGGAGAAAAACAGTAACTTGGTCAGTTGAGAAGCTTGGCAGACACCACTGTAATCAGCAATCAGCATGAGCCTCGCCCAAGTACTAGGACAAGTGTGAAATCGTGTGCCACCTGATAGGAGACAGTGTGATGAGCACAGCATCATTTCTGTCACAGTCCTGCTGAAGCGCATCCTGCGTTCATTCGTCAGGAAAATAGACAAACTCAAATTGAGGGACACCCTATAAAATAACTGGCCCATAGTTACTCGAAAGTATCAAGACCCTAAAAGTTTGAGGAAAGACTGAGGACCTGTTTCAGAACAAAAGAAACTAAAGAGATATAACTAAGTGCAGCACACGATTCTGGGCTTGATCCTTTGGTTATAAAGGACACTTTCAGAACAGTTACAGAACTTTTGGAACAGTTACCAATTTCCTGATTTTGGTGGTTGAGCTGTGGACCTCGTTTATAGGAAATACTTAATTATTCAGGGGCGATAGGACCTCGTGTCAGCAGCTGACCTTCAAATGGTTCAGAAAACATGCTTTATCTCTTTCTTGCAGATTCTACGTCAGAATAACAAAGGTTTTAAAAATTAACTATATCCTACATATATGGCTATAACATGTCAGCCAAGGTCCCAAGAGAGTTTAAAGCCTTAATGACATGACATTCTTTTTTTTTTTTTTTTTTTTTTTTTTTTTTTTTTAAAGATTTTATTTATTTATTTGTCAGAGAGAGAGAGTACACACAAGCAGGCAGAGAGGCAGGCAGAAAGAGAGGAGGAAGCAGGCTCCCTGCCAAGCAAGGAGCCCGATGCAGGACTCGATCCCAGGACCCCAGGATCATGACCTGAGCTGAAGGCAGCGGCTTAACCCACTGAGCCACCCAGGCGTCCCATGACATGACATTCTTTGTATGTAATAATTTATTTCTTATACCTCTGGAATGGAGTTAACTACCTACCCCTGAGGGAGAATTGAGAGAAATAGTCACTGAAATAATTTTTCAGGAGGTTTACTTGTCTTATGAAATTCCATTTGAAAAAAGCCCCAGGTGGTAATGGGCATTAAGGAGGACAAGTGACGTAATGAGCACTGGATGTTACATACAACTGATGAATCAGTGATAATCACTGAGCTCCACCTACCTCTGAAACTAAAAATATACTGTGTGTTAATTAATTGAATTTAAATAAAAATTTTTTATAAGAAAAATACAGAGAGATTAATAATAATAAACATCCATGAACCCAAAACCCAACTTAAGAAATTATCACTTATGGGGCACCTGGGTGGCTCAGTTGGTTAGGTGACTGCCTTCAGCTCAGGTCATGATCCTGGAGTCCTGGGATCAAGTCCCACATCAGGCTCCCTACTCAGTAGGGAGTCTGTTTCTCCCTCTGACCTTCTCCCCTCTCATGCTCTCTCTCTCTCATTCTCTCTCTCACATAAATAAAGTAAAATCCTTAAAAAAAAAAAAAAGAAATTTTCATTTATAACCACTTTTAAAGTTTCTTGTGTGATCCTAACTAACCCTCCCCTCAAGAGATAATCGACGTCCTGATTTTTTATTTATCATACCTATGTTTAGGGTTTTGTTTTTTTTTTTAATAGTTTGGTCATGTTTATGCCTTACACCCTGTTATCTTTGGTAAGCCCCTTGTGCCAATGACCTTATCTTTCTCCTCTGTAAGTTTAGTAATTGATATTAGAGCAATATATATAATAGACACTTGATAGTACTTGGCAGGAAAAGTTGTGTGGTCACTAAGTGAAGAGACAATCCATTTTATAAGTTTGTAAAGAGCTTTGAAATGTGAATCTCTTTTCAGCCACTGTTGAACTCTACAAAAGGTAAGTTATTTTCATTTGCAGAAGATGCTGCGTGATATTGTTTTAGCTCTGGTTGCCCTAAATCTTAAATATTTAGCCTATAAATATCCATCACAGATGTTATGTTAGGTTTTCATGTTGCTAATATATACTTAGAAAAGAGCTTGCGGATGCACCTGGCTTTTGTTGCTGTCTTTTAGTTCTAATAATGGGAGTAAGTCTAGTATGTTCTATAGCTTGGAATGTTGGGCATGACCACAAGTGGTCTTGAAATATAACTTTATATGGGCTTTGGACTAATACCCTTTTAAAAAAATTACAACAGAAATCAACCAGACTATTACGAAGTGGTTTCTCAGCCCATTGATTTGATGAAAATCCAGCAAAAGCTAAAAATGGAAGAGTATGATGATGTTAATCTGCTGACGGCTGACTTCCAGCTGCTTTTTAACAATGCAAAGGCCTATTACAAGGTAAGAAAGCATCCCATTTGGACAGTATCCAGTTTGATAATAGTTTGGCTGTTCACTGTTTATTATTCTAGGAGGTAAGTAGTGTTTTCTCATTTGGTGGTTTGACTTTGTTTCTTTGAGAAAGAGACTGAAAGGGGCACCTGGGTGGCTCAGTGGGTTGAGCCTCTGCCTTCAGCTCAGGTCATGATCTCAGGGTCCTGCAATCCAGCCCTGTATCGGGCTCTGTGCTCGGCAGGGAGCTGCTTCCCCCTCTCTCTCTCTGCCTGCCTCTCTGCCTCCTTGTGATCTCTGTCTGTCAAATAAATGAATAAAAATCTTAAAAAAAAAAAAAAAGAGATTGAAGGTTCATATTGCATGATGCCATTTTTACTTCTTTTGTGTCTATTCAAATCTTTTGCCCATTTTTCTCTTGAGTTGTTTGTCATTTTCATATCTCTCAGAAGTTGTTTTTTTTTTAAGATTTTATTTATTTATTTGACAGACAAAGATTATAAGTAAGCAGAGAGGCAGGCAGAGAGATAGGAGGAAGCAGGCTCCCTGCTGAGCAGAGAGCCCGATGTGGAGCTCGATCCCAGGACCCTGAGATCATGACCTGAGTCGAAGGCAGAGGCTTTAACCCACTGAGCCACCCAGGTGCCCCTAGAAGTTTTTTTTATATATTCTAGATACTAATACTCTCTGGTTATATTGGTTAAACGTATCTTTTCCCACTATGAGTCTTTCATTCTTCATGATGTCTTGATGAACAAAAGATTATTTTAACATAATCAGATTTATTACTCTTTAACTGTGGTTTGTCATTTGTGTCTTGTTGCAGAAATCCCTTTTATCCAAAGATTATAAGACACTCTTCTATTTTCTTCTAAAAGCTTAATAGTTTTGTTTTTCACATACAAGCCTTTAAGGCAGCTCAGATTGGTTTTTACATCTTCTGTGAGGTAGGGTTCTGTTTTGTTTCCTAATAGGAATAAGCAGCACCTTGAACTGGCCATCCTCTCCACATTTGTCTGCACCGTCAGTGCTCCCACCATTTCCATGTACTCACGGGGGGTCCCTTTCTGGCCCTTTAGTCTGTTCCTTTTGTTTTGGCAAGTTTATCTGTTACTCGACTACTTTATTCTTGCCTTAGTTATTATGGCTTTAAAATCTTTATCAGGTAAGAATGCACTGGTTATTGATCATTCTCGGCCCTTTTCTTATCTATTTATCTGTTAAGTCAAGCATAAAAAAATTGGAGGTTTTATTGGAATTGCGTGGATTCTGTGGACCAGTCATATTTTGGAGAATTAACATAATGGTGATATTGATTATTCCAATCTTTAAATTTGATGTGTCATCATTTATGTAAGACTTCTTTAAATTATTTTAGCAAAGTTTTAGACTTTTTTTATTAAGATTCTGCAAAGTGTCATTAGATTTGTTCTTAATACTGTGTAATATTATATGTATTTCTTAATTTAATTGAGAATAAATTCACAGTCTTTTATTTATTTATTTATTTGGCAGATGCTAATTTTTTAAATTTTCAGTTAGCCAGCATATAGTACAGCATAAGTTTTTGATATAGTGTTCAACGATTCATTAGTTGCATACAACGCTCAGTACTCATCACAACACATGCCCTCCTTAGTACCCATCATCTCGTTACCCCATCCCTCTACCCCCTTCCCTTCTGTCACGCAGTCTTTTAAAGCATAGAATTCAGGGGTGCCTGGGTGGCTTAGTTGGTTAAGCGTCCAACTCTTGACATCATCTCTGGGTCTTGATGTCAGGGTTGTGAATTCAAGCCTGCATTGGGCTCTACACTGGGCATGGAGCCTCTTTAAAAATAATTAATTAATTAATTAATTAGAAAGTATAGAATTCAGTGAGTTTTGGCATATTCACAAAGTTGTGCAGCCATCACTAATACCTAACTCCAGAATATTTTCATTTCCTCAAAAAAGAAAACCATACCCATTATCAGGGTGTTCTCCATTTCACCTTCCCCCTGCCTCTGACAACCACCTTTTCTTTCTTTGTGGATTTGTCCTTCAGCACATTGCATATAAATGGAATCAAATACTATCCAGCCTTAGGTGACTGGCTCCTTTCACTGCACATGTCTTCGAGGTTCATCCAAATTGTAGCACATATTAGTACTTCATTCCTTTCTATGACTGGATAATATGCTATTATATGGCTGTACCACACTTCATTTATCCATTTCCCAGCTGATGGGCATTTGGGTTGTTTCTCCTTTTAGCTATCATGAATAAAGGTGCTGTAAATTCTGTCACTAGAGTAAGGGTGGCTGGTCATTGGATACAAGATTCTGCATGTGTCCATCACACTTAGCTTGTTAATTATGTCGTTAAAATCATTTATATCCTTACTGATTTATCTGTACAAACTATTTACCAAATGAGGTGTTTTAAAATCTCTCACTCTGGGTGCGCCTGGGTGGCTCAGTGGGTTAAGCCACTGCCTTCAGCTCAGGTCATGATCTCAAGGTCCTGGGATCGAGTCCCGCATCGGGCTCTCTACTCAGCCAGGAGCCTGCTTCCCTCTCTTTCTGCCTGCTTCTCTGCCTACTTGTGATCTCTGTCTGCCAAATAAATAAATAAAATCTTAAAAAAATAAAATCTCTCGCTCTGATGATGAATTTGTCTGTTTCTCCTTATAACTCTGTTGATCTTTTGCTTTATGTATTTTAAAACTCCAACTGGGAGCATACAACTTTAAAATTGTCGTATTGACCTAGTAAATTGTACTTTTTTTGCATTATGTAGTATCAGTAATGTCTTTTGTTGGAAGTCTGTTTTGTCGGATATTAATATAGTTCTAACGGATTTTATCTTTGCGTTTACTTATTTTATTTTTCTTCCATTCTTTTCCTTCAGCCTTTTGGTGCCAATGCATCTCTTGTAAACAGCATATGCATGAATTTCTATTAATATGGGTGTTAATCTTTTTAACTGGAATTTCATCTATTTACAGTTTCAGTAATAACGTTATGTTTGGATATATTCCTATCATCTACATTTCTGCTTTCTCTTTATCTCATCTTATAATATTTTTTCTTGTTTTTCCTTCTGTCTTCTTTTGGTTTCATTTTGTTATTCCCTCTTATTTTCTCTTTTTTTGTGGGGGTTGTAAAAATCTGTTGATAATCTTTTAGATTTTATTTAGGAAGTTTTAATGTACATAATTAATTTACCAAAGTCAAAAGCTAATAATCAGCATCTTTTAAAGATTTTTATTTATTTATTTGACAGAGACCACAAGTAGACAGAGAGAGAGGAGGAAGCAGGCTCCCCACTGAGTAGAGAGCCTGATGTGGGGCTCGATCCCAGGACCCTGAGATCATGACCTGAGCCAAAGGCAGAAGCTTTAACCCACTGAGCCACCCAGGCGCCCCTAATAATCAGCATCTTAAACCTCCTTCTAAACAACACAAAAAAGACCTTAGAATAATTCAACTCTGATCTATTTATGCAACTGATATTTTGTATTTTAGTTCTGTTGTGGCAGATTTTTTAAAAAAGGATTTTATTTTGGGGTGCCTGGGTGGTACAGTTGGTTGAGCATCCGGCTCTTGATTTTGGCTCGGGTTATGATCTCAGGATCCTGGGATCAAGCCCCACATGAGCTCTGTGCTCAGTGGGGAGTCTTTTTGAGGATTCTCTTTCCCCTTCTCCCTCTGCTCCTCCCCCTGCCTGCATTCTCTCTCTCCCTTTTTCTCTCTCTTAAATAAATGAACCTTTTAAAAAAAAAAAAAAAAAGGGATTTTATTTTTAAGTAATCTTTGCACCCAACATGGGACTGGACCTCACAACCTTGAGGTGAAGAGTCATACACTCCACTGACTGAGACAGCGAGGCACCCCTTTTGTGGCAGATTTTTAATCTCCTCTTTATTCTTTTTTTTTTTTTATTTTTAACTTTATTTATTTATTTATTTATTTGACAGAGAGACAGGGAGAGCAGGAACACAAGCAGGGGGAGTGGGAGAGGGAAAGCAGGCTTCCCACTGAGCAGGGAGCCCAGTGCAGGGCTCAATCCTAGGACACCAGGATTATGACCTGAGCTGAAGTCAGATGCTTAACTAACCAAGCCACTCAGACGCCCCAGTTGATTTATTTATTTTAAGTAATCTTTATACCCAACCTGGGACTCGAATTCATAGCCCCTGAGATCAGAAGTTGCATGTCCTTCTGACTGAGCTAGCCAGGTGTCCCTATTCTTTATTCTTTTATTGCCATCAAGAAGTCTTCTGTCGATATAATTTTAGTTCCTTTAAAGGTTAGCTATCTTTTCTTTCTGGCTGTCTTTGGCTTCCTTTTGTCTCTTGTGTTCTACAGTTTCACGGTGATGTATCTGGATATGAATATCCTTTTATTAGTATAGTCTGGGAACTGTAGGGCTTTCTGAATTTTTGGATCGATGTTTTTCATCAGCCTGGGGAAGTTTGCAGCTGTTCTGTCTTTGTGCGCTGCCCCAGCCAAACTCTGTCCTGCTAGAACTCGGATCGTGTGTTCCGCTAGAGCCCTCTCAAGTCTCTGTCTCTCCTAACCTTTCCTAGTCCCCTTTTCAGTGCCTTTGTTGCGTTTTATGTAATTTCTTTTTTTTTTAAAGATTATTTATTTATTTATATATTTATTTGACAGAGAGAGAGTGAGAGAGAGACGGCGAGAGAGGGAATATAAGCAGGGGTGTGGGAGAGGGAGAAACAGGTTTCCCGCTTAGCAGGGAGCCCAATGCTCCATCCCAGGATCCTGGGATCATGACCCAAGCTGAAGGCAGACGCTTAATACCTGAGCCACCCAGGCGCCCCACTTTTTATGTAATTTCTTTAGTTCTTCTACTTTTCTTTGAAATCTGCTCTTAAACCACACTGTTGAGTTCTTCTAATATTTGTGTTTTTCATATTTTGGAAGTAGTTTTCTTTTCAGGGTTTCCTGCAATTTGCTTCTATTTTTCAATCCCATCGTTTCTTTAAAAATGTTCAACATACTCATTTTTCATACTATGGCATAATTCCAAAATCTGAAATACTTGTGTATCTGATTTTGTGGTTATTTCTGCTGGCTTTCTTGTGTGGTTTCATTCTTTTGTGTTTCATGAAGTTTAACCTTGAGCTCACATTTCTTGGAACTTGATCTCTAGAGATTGTTTGAGGCTTAGATTGAAATTGGGTTCATTTAGGGTAGTGTGTTGCTTATCCCAGGCACCTGACCTGTCTTTGTTAGGGCTAGCGTATGAGGACTTCTCAGAGGAGAATCATCCCATGCCTCTCCTCTCCCTGCAGCGTTATGGTTGGAGATAAGCACAGGTTGAGCTGGGTGGAGGATGAGGTGGGTAGTGTTGTTCCCAGGCATCACAGACACTGAATTGTTCTTGAATTCCTGCTTAGGTTGCAAGGGTGGTGTTTGGAGTCCCAGCTTCTGGTGGGCTCTGACCTTTATCTCCTGTCCTGCAGCTTCAGAGAGCTTTGAAAACTAAAGCTTTAGGTTTATCTTACCTTACAGAAGCCCTCAAGTGGACATCAAGCTTCAGTGTTCTGCTCGGTCATGTGGGTTCCTGCTTTGACTCTCTTCTTGCTCTTTTGAGCATTGCTTTCTCCTTACTGGCAGCACCTGCATGGATTCGAAAGTTTAGCTTTACTTATTTGTTTATTTTTTTAAAACTTTTATTTATTTATTTGACAGAGAGAAACACAGTGAGAGAGAGAACACAGGCAGGGGGAGTGGGAGAGGGAGAAGCAGGCTTCCTGCTGTGCAGGGAGCCTGATGTGGGGCTCGATCCCAGGACTCTGGGGTCAGGACCTGAGCTGCAGGCAGACGCTTGACGACTGAGCCACCCAGGCGCCCCACTGCTTGTTTTAACATTGGTGCCAGCATTGCTTTTACTGGGAAGTTTCAGTTAGAGTTTATCCCTATTATACTTTAGGAAAAGAAGTCTTTAAATAAAGTAGTAAATAACTTAAAAATAGAAGTGATAGTAGAACAATCGTTAGCTTCTACACTTTACACTTATAGCCCTTAAACTGGGTCTTACCTTTTGAATTGCGTATGTTCATGTATGAGTTATTAGGGTTACTTTTTTTTTTAAGATTTTATTTATTTGTCAGAGAGAGAACACAAGCAGGGGGAGCAACAGGTAGAGGGAGAAGCTGGCTCCCCACTGAACAAGGAGCCCAGGGGGCACTTGATCTCCGCATCCTGGGATCATGACCTGAGCCAAAGGCAGACACGTAACTGACTGAGCCACCCAGGCATCTCTGTTAGTGTTAATTTAACAAATCATTTATCTTTTGCCTCAAATCTTAATGTAATGAGATAATAGGGCATAAATAAAAAAATAATATGATTTCAGAATGCCTTTAAAACATATGCTTTGTTTCTCAGAAGAGGAATTGAGGCTCATGTATCTTTCAGTCATAAAGATTTCTAAATTTGTTGTAAGAGTTTCAGCATCGATGTCTTAGAATGCTAGTCTCTGCTGGAACAGAATGCTTTAAAAGTAGTTGTTGATTTACAATAAAATACTAAAGTGATATTTTTTTCTTTTGTCTTTGTTCATTTGTACAGCCAGATTCTCCTGAATATAAAGCTGCTTGCAAACTCTGGGATTTGTACCTTAGAACAAGAAATGAGTTTGTTCAAAAAGGAGAAGCAGATGACGAAGATGATGATGAAGATGGGCAAGACAATCAAGGCACAGTGACCGAAGGAGTAAGTGTGCGGCTGGGATGAGTAAGATGGACCTTTTTGAGAGTAGACGAGGCCCCCCTACCTGTGATTTCTTCTGTGCTTTTGTGGGCAACTGGGTTTCCTGTGGTGTGGTGTTGGTGACTAGGAGGGTAAGGGGGCATATGACCAGAGATCCCCACTCCGATTACAAGAGATCCTAGGACATCCTGGACATTGAGTGCCATGAGTGGTTGTTTTCATGAGTTGCTCTTACATTAATGCATATTTCCTATTCAGTTTTAAGGAGAACCTTCATATCATCAAGGACTGTTCCAGTTTTGCTGGATTGAGATACAACAGTAGGCAGTATTGTGATTAAATGTTGGAGAGTCATTGGAATTACCTTAGAAATATTTTTTGTAGCTAGTACTGCTGCTGTTCCCAGAACATGCCAAATGTGCTCTTGCCCCTAGAATTTTGCAGTTGCTCTTCTGCTTGGAACATACGCTTCCTTTGGCTCTTTCTGTGACTGGCTCTTTTTCATGATTCTAACATCACTTAAAATTAAGACAGCTAGGAGTGGACTTTCCTGACGACTTGTCTAAATTGTTTGCCCTGTACTCGTCTTTTCCCATCACCACATCACTCTGTTCTGTGGTCCTCAGTTTTTTGTTACTATATGTGAAATAACTTGTTTATCTGTTTGCATGTTTACTTTCTTTCTTCTTCCAAAGAGAATGATAGCTGCACAGAAAATACCACCTTATTCACCTGTTGCTGGCATCTAGACTGTGAGGCATGTGTAGGTACTGGTAAACACTTGATGAATGAGCACGTGTGTTTAATTAGAGGAAGAAAGATAATAAAAGTAAGGACATCGCTCTTCTGTAGCTAAATAGTGAGACACCCAAAGCTGAGCGTTCTCCTTTCTTCCCTAAGTTAACCCCAATAGGCCTTCTCCTGAAACTTCAACACAGAGAAAAGAAATGCTAGGTGAATTTCTCAAAAATGTAAATACTTCCGGGCACCTGGGTGGCTCAGTCAGTTAGGCGTCCAACTCTTGGATTTGGCTCAGGTCATGATAATGGAGCCCCACATTGGGCTCTCTGCTCAGCATGGAGTCCACTTAAGATTTCCCCTCTCCCTGTGCCTCTCTGCCACTCACATACCCACATACTCTCAGTTTCTCTCTTTCTATTAAAAAAGGAAAGTAACTACTTCTTGGACTCTCAAAATGTAGCTCTTGGGTACCTTGTCAATTTCTTTCTGGCAGTTAAATGATTAGAATTAGGTAGAAGGCAATTAACTAGGGATTCCCTGGAATTTTACTCTCCGGTATTAATATAGGAACAGTGATTTACCCCATGCTTTCTTGGACAGAACATTACCTACAGAGGGCTCAGTCGTCTTATAGGCCTCCAGGGTTCTAGTCAAAAAATGAAACCACCTGCATTTAGGACTTGCCTGTGTTTCTTTGGTAACAAATTGGGAGGATCTTGCACATTCATGTTTATATTTCCCAGGCTGCTTCTTGGCCCTAAGTTCTTATGAATGGAGAGGGTATTTTCAAGCTTCTCTCTCTTTTTTTTTTTTTTAAAGATTTTATTTATTTATTTGACACAGAGCACAAGTAGGCAAAGAGGCAGGCAGAGAGAGAGAGAGGGAAGCAGGCTCCCTGCCAAGCAGAGATCCCGACGCGGGGCTTGAGCCCAGGACCCCAAGATCACAACCCCAGCCAAAGGCAGAGGCTTTAACCCCCTGAGCCACCCAGACACCCCGCTTCTCATTTTTAAATTCAAAATGATTTCCTTGGAGCTTTCCCAGTTGTGGAAATAGGTTCTGGGAGCGCATTCACACCCTGCAGCACACGTTGCATGTCATCTGCAACACGTGTTTCCAGAGTAGCTGTTTGGGTTGGGAGGAAAGGAATCTTGGCTGCAGAGTATAACTCTGCTCTTTTTGAAACTAACTCTGTGGTACTGTGTTTTAGCCAGGAAGTAAATGACTTAAGCATGGGTATTTTTAGTCTGATTTCATCAGTGTTTTGTTGGTTCTCTAAGCTTATGTAGTTGGAAACTCTCAGAGAATCACATGTTTTATTTGTTAAATATTTGTTATGTGTTTGTTATTGCCAGGCACTGTGCTAGGCTCAAGAGATGTTAATGTTCTCTCTGTGGAGTTAATATTGGACCTTAAAATTGAGACTGTACTAAATAAAAAAGACCTGTTAGATGAGGACACAAAGATCAATGCTTTTGTGGTTTAAGCCAGAAATACCATTACCCTTTCTTTTGTATGCACAGAACATGGTTCTATAACTCTTTTGTTTAAGATTTATTTATCTATTTTAGAGAGAGAGTGAACGTGTCAGGGAGGAGCAAAGGGAGAGAATCTCAAGCAGACTCCTGCTGACTGCAGAGTCCTACATGGGGTTTGATCTCACACCCTCAAGATTGTGACCGGAGTCAAAAGAGTCGGGTGTTTAAACAGTTGAGCCATCCGGCGCACCCATTTTCTGTAACTCTTGATGCAAACATGCCATTGCTCACTGTAAAAACCAGCTTCATACTCAGATCCTGCCTGGCCAAGTGCTGTTTGGGGCATATACTTTCCCATGTGGAAACAGTAAATAAGGTAGGAGTAAGTCAGCCAGTCTGCGGGGCAGAAGTAATGTGCATTATTTGATATGATCTCTATTTGCTTTTGAGATAGCTAGAATTCTGTCATCAGATCTGATAGAGCCACCCCATGGGTAGAAGTATATATTTCCAGCTTTACATGCATCCTTGTTCTACCAGAATATTCAGACTTCAGTAGTTAGGAAGAGCAGATGTAGAGAGAGTCAGGTATCATGGGACATGTTTTCCCTGTCTCAGTTGCTCAGACCCTAAGAAGGTTTGCATTTCCATCATTTCATACATATGGCACTTGAATTTCACTGTTACAGTGTTTACTGTGGAATAGACTTCAGTAAAAGGACCTGGTCCAAGGGATTTAGTTGCTGAGGTAACATAAGGAGCCTCCTTAGTGTCACGTATGCCATTCCAGGGGTGCAGGCCCCATGTCCGCATCAGAGCGTTTCTGTGGTATTTTTGAAACTTACACTAAATAAGTACTGTTTATAAGTTGCTTTTTGAATTAATTTTAACATTTTAGCATTGATGTTTGGATTTCTCTCACAGTCATTCTCTGTCTCTTCTCTCCTTCCTGCTAACCTCCTCCTCCCAGTCTTCTCCAAGTTACTTGAAGGAGATCCTGGAGCAGCTTCTTGAAGCCATAGTTGTAGCCACAAATCCATCAGGACGTCTCATCAGTGAACTTTTTCAGAAACTGCCTTCTAAAGTGGTAAGTGATGCAGTTAAAAACAGATGAGTTAAAGTGTGTTTTTGTTTCATTTGGTTTTCATTTTTCAGTACTTCAGAAAATTTATTAGTTCTTAGTAAATAAAGGTATTGGAGGCTGCCAGGTGACCCTCCGTGAGGCCACAGCAGCAAGCACGTAGGACATGTTCTACCATTTTATCTCTCCTGAAGGTTGTGAATTTAAAACAAAATTGTTTTTGATTGGTTATTCTTACTGTTTGGTTTTTGTTTTTTATTGTAAAATATATATAAGATTTACCATTTAACCATTTTAAGTGTACGGTTCAGTGAGGTAAGTATATTCGTATTGTATGTCTGTTTGCTTAATTAAAACTCTGTATCCATTAAACAATAACTCCCCATAAAATAAAATAAAGTAAAAAAATAAAATACAAACAAAAAAACCCCAACAACTCCCCATTCCCTCTCAGCCCCCAGCTTTTGACAACTACCGTTCTGTGTTCTCTATGAATTTGACTACTCTAAGTACCTGATCATAAGAGAACTCATACAATATCCTTTTGTATCTGGTTTATCTCATTTAGCGTCGTATATTCAGCGTTCATCCAGGTTGGAGCATGTGTCAGAATTTCCTTCCTTTTTAAAGCTAAGTAAATACTCTCATTTGTGCATATACCACATTTTATTTGTCCATTCATCTGCCCATGGACATTGGGTTGTTTCCAATCTTGGTGACTCTTAAAATAACAAAATAAGTACATAAACTAAGCCTTTTATTTGTAAAAGAGAAGAAACATTCTCTTTGCTCAGGAGATAGAATGAGAAGATAAATGAGTTCTTCCTCTTTTAGTGCTGATCTCCTGGTGATGGAGAAGAGAGAGATCTAGTAGTACTCATCTACCCCAAAGAGGAAGAGGTTTTCTAGACAAGTGAGACCCTTTGAAAGTGGCAGGGCCTCTTGTGGCTTCATAACCGAAAGGCAGTGAGCATCGCTAAAGTCCCACTGTAGCCCATGGAACTACAAACATTTTGATGGCCTCTGCATTCTTGTATTTCTAGACAAGGATATACTTTTAGAAGTACTTCACTGTCGCATATACTCCATTGTGATCGTTTACTTTTTATCTACCTCCTTCCCACACCCCTGAATTTAAGAACAATTATGTCCTATTTTCTTTTGTATCCTTGCCATATAGTTGGGATCCAGCATGTCCCTGGTGTGCAAGAAATGCTTATTGACTGATGAGTGGCATGCAGTTTTCCCCATCAGTCATCGACATGACTGGTTATCTAGAGATGTGTCTTGACTAGTTGTAGGACAGTTACCACATTAGAAGTAAAGCAGAGGGGCACCTGGCTGGCTAAGAGGGTAGAACATGCAAGTCTTGATCTTGATGTCATGAGTTCAAGTCCCATGTTGGGTGTAGACTTACTTTAAAAAGTTAAAAAGAAAAAAAAGTTAAAAAGTTGAAAGAAAGAAAGCATATATGACCACTGCTCTTCTAAGTGTGGATCTGATTAGAAAAATACAGTGATTATATTGGTCGTATGTTTTAAATTTTAAGAGAAAAGGAAAACTGTACGATAAATTCTCAAAAAATTGAATACAGATTTACCCTATGATCCAGCAATTCCACTTTGGGTACATACCCAAAGGAATTGGAAGCAGGATCTCAAAGAGATGTGTACACCCATGTTCACAGCGGTATTATTCAAAATAGTTAAAACATGGGAGCAACCCGATGGCCCTCAGTAGATGACTTGATAAATGAAATGTGGTATATACATACAATAGAGTATTTTTCAGCCTTTAGAAAAAGAATGAGGGGAGCCTGAGTGGCTCGCTCAGTTAAGAGTCTGCCTTTGGCTCAGGTGATGATCCCAGGGTCCTTAGATCAAGCCCTGCATCCCACTCCCTATTCAGCAGGAAACTTGCTTCTCCCTCTCCCTCTGCCCCTACCTCTGCTTATTCTATCGTTCTCTCTCTCAAATACATAAATGAAATATTTAAAATAAACTAAAAAGAATGAAATTCTGACACATGCTAAAATGAACCCTGAACACATTATAGTAAATGAAATCAGCCAGTCACAGAAGGACCAATATTGCATGTTTCCTCTTATAGAAGGTACTCAGAGTATTCAGATTCATTAGAGAAAGTAGAATTGTGGTTTCCAGGGACTGGCAGGAAGAGAGAGGGGGCAGTTATTGTTCATTGGGTCTGGAGATTCAGTTTGGGAGGATGAAACGTTTAGAAGATGGTTGATGACCATGGTTGCACAATAGTGTGAATGTACTTAATGTCACTGAACCACACACTTACAATGATTAAACAGTACATTTTTTGTATATTTGACCACAATTTTAAAAAAATATAAGAAAGGAGTATAGTCTTTTTTTTTAAATTTTTTAAATTTATTTTCAGCGTTAACAGTATTCATTGTTTTTGCACCACACCCAGTGCTCCATGCAATCCGTGCCCTCTCCAATACCCACCACCTGGTTCCCCCAACCCCCCCCCCCCCGCCCCTTCAGAACCCTCAGATTGTTTTTCAGAGTCCATAGTCTCTCATGGTTCACCTCCCCTTCCAATTTCCCTCAACTCCCTTCTCCTCTCCAACTCCCCTTGTCCTCCATGCTATTTGTTATGTGGAGTACAGTCTTTATTCAAGACCTACTCTTATTTTGCAGGAGATCATCACCAGTGGTCAAGCCACCAAGGGTGACTTGGAGCAATAAAGCATTAATATCCTGGGGCACCTGGGTGGCTCAGTCAGTTCAGCGTCCCAACTCTTGATCTCAGCTCAGGGCTTGATCTCAGGATCATGAGTTTAAGCCCCTTATTGGGCTCCATGCTGGGTGTGGAGCTTATTTTTAAAACAAACAAACAAACATGTTTAATATCCTGTTTCTCCATTCCAGGAGGGCTTTTGGGAATACCATGTAGCAAAAGTTGGTTAGAAAAAGCAGGTTCCCATTGGTCCCTCGGGATGTGACAGTTTCAAAGTCAGCAAGGACTGAGATTGGGAGGGGAGGGCAGTTTTTACCTTTCCTTTATGAGCCCTTCCCAAGCTGAATTGGCTGAAGAGGGGAATTGGGAATATGTAGACCCAGCCAGGGTGGCCTTGCTATAATTTGTCTTCTGAACTAGAATTGATAGAGAGGGGGCAGAAAACGGGTTTGATCCAAGCAAAGAAAAGAGTAGGGTTAAGAAAGTAAGGGTAACCTGAGGAATGAGATGAGAGGAAGCATCCCTGAGATCATGCCTTCAGCCCAGTAACTAGGTGAAGGCTGTAGTCGCCTGCTTTTTGTTGTTGTTTGGGCTTCAAGGACTTGAACAGGTTGGAAGAACTTGGAGAGCCCACATAGTAGACCAACTTTTTTTTATTAACGTATGATGTATTATTTGCTTCAGGGGTACAGGTCTGTGAATCATCAGGCTTACACAGTTCACAGCGCTCACCAAAGCATATGCCTTCCCCAGTGTCCATCACCCACCCACCGTATCCCTCCCCTGCTAGCCCCCAGCAACCCTCTGTTTGTTCCCTGAGATTAAGAGTCTCTTATGGTTTGTCTCCCTCCCCGGTCCCATCTTGTTTCATTTTTTTGCTCCCTATCTCCCATGTCCCCCTGCCCTGCCTCTCAAATTCCTCATATCAGAGAGATCGCATGATAATTGTCTTTTTCTGATTGACTTATTTCACTCAGCATAATACCCTGTAGTTCCATCCATGTAGTTGCAAATGGCAAGATTTCGTTTTTTTAATTTTTGGTCAGCTTCAGTTGTTTCTTCCAAGGAACCAAACCTGTAGAAAAGACTTGGGGCAGTGAATACAGTGTGGGCATTTTTGGTTGTTTGTTTTTGTTTTTTGTTTTTTAAAGATTTTATTTATTTATTTGACAGAGATCACAAGTAGGCAGAGAGGCAGGCAGAGAGAGAGAGGAGGAAGCAGGCTTCCCGCTGAGCAGAGAACCTGATGCAGGGCTTGATCCCAGGACCCTGGGATCAGGATCTGAGCCGAAGGCAGAGTCTTAACCCACTGAGCCACCCGGGTGCCCCTGTTTTGTTTTGTTTTTAAAGATTTTATTTATTTGAAAGAAGGCACGCATTCAGGGGAGGGGCAGAGGGTGAAGGAGAATCTCAAACTAACTCCCGCTGAGCACAGAGCCTGACACAGGGCGCCATCTCATGATCCCGAGATCAAGACCTGAACTGAAGAGTCAGACACTTAACCAGCTGAACCGTCCAGGCATCCCTGCACTGTGGACTTTGTGAAACTCTTCAAGAACATTCCTCTAGCATACTTCACTTATTTTCTTGTGATAAGCTAATACTTGATGAGAAATCAGAGAGTGCTTATAATTTTACCTTTTGTGGTTTTTTTGAAGATTTTATTTATTTATTTTATAGAGAGAATGAGAGACAGAGACAGGGCATGAGCTAGGAGGAGGAGGCAGAGGCAGAGGGAGAGGGAGAAGCAGACTTCCCACTGAGCAGGAAGCCTGGGCTTGATCCCAGGACACTGGGATAATGGCCTGAACCAAAAGCAGATGCTTAACTGACTGAGCCATCTAGGCACCCCTTTTACTTTGATTCTTTAATGTGGTTTCACTTAATGTGTTTTAGTTTGAAAAAAAAATTAATTTGACCAAAATAAGTAGAAGCATTAAGTTAAACATGAAGCTAACAAACTTGCAACCTTATGTAGTTTAAGATCCATAAGAATTTTATATGAGGGGCACCTGAGTGGCTCAGTTGGTTCAAGCATCCAGCTCTTTTTTGGCTCAGGTCATAATCTCATGCTTGTGAGATTGAACCCTGTGTCGGGCTACACGGTTGGCGTGGAGTCAGCCTGAGATTTTTTTTTCCCCCTTCCTCTTCCCACCCCAACTCCTTCCTCCCATCCCCCTGTCTACTCACAGGTGCGTGTTCTCTCTCTTTAAAGTAAATAAAATCTTTTAAAAAGTAATTTTATATGAAATAGGATAATATTGTGTGATTTAAGTTGAAAAATTAAAAGAGCTTATAAGAACATTCAAAAACATTCTTCTATTTCATTTTCAGGGATAAATATGTTGGAACCTTAAATTTTAAATTGTGTGATTCTATGAATTTAGAATTTTTTTAAACATTAAGTTATAGTGTTGGATAATGGCAGTTACCGAATACTACCTGTAAACTTGTACAATGTGCTCTTGTGTATTTCATAAATCTTGTTAAAATCAAATTCTTTCTGCTTCACCTATAACAAACCGTATGCTCTACAGCTGTGTTTGTAGCCTTGCATCTGACAGAGCTGTTCAGTTGATTAACAGATTGTCAGTGTTTTTGCTTGTTTCTCATTTCCTGGATACTTTTCTCTTATTTATCATGCCCGGGTTTTTGTCTTCCAGCAATATCCAGACTATTATGCAATAATTAAGGAGCCTATAGATCTCAAGACCATTGCTCAGAGGATACAGGTACGAAGATAACCACATGTAACCATATGTGTTTTAGGGCAGTTCAGCCTGACATCTTTTGTAGAGGCTTTTAGGAAACAGAAGCGATGTCTTTGTAAGGGGTTATTAACAATATAATAAACAAGTAGAGTGGTAAAACTGATTATAGCTTTGGAGGAGGTAGCATAGTGTCCCTTTTGCGTTTTATCTGTAGGGAGGAAAGCAGAATTTTCACTGGCGTTGTAAATCTTGCTCTTAGGACAAAAATTAAAAAGCACTGGCCATAGACGTTTTTAGTTGTGAAAGTCCCATTAGCAATAAAGCTTTGTTGTTTATTCTTATCTGCTTCCAAAGAGTTTTAGGATGTCTCAGAGTAAGTTACCTTCAGTATATGTTAGAGGGTAAGGTCAGTGAAAACAGAGGCTTTGTTCTCTTTGAGTGCCTTCCTCCCTGTATCCCCAGCAGTAGCAACAGCCAGCACTCAGTTGGCATTGCCAGGTGCCTGCTCTGTTCTCAGTGCTTTGTATGTATTAACTATTAATTCTGATAGCCACTCCCTGAGGTAGATACCGTTATTATTCCTGTTTTACAGATGAGAAAAACCGAAGCACCGAGCTGGTAAGTCACTGGCCCAAGTCAGCAGCTAGTAAGGAGAAGAGTTGGGATTTGAATCCAGACATTCTGACTCCCGAGTCTGTGCTCTTAACCTCTGCACTGTTACTGCCTCTCCACAGAGTAGGTGCTCAATAGATGTTTATTGAGTTGAATGAATGACGAAATTTAAAACTTGGCGATTAGAGGTTAAGGAAGGTATAGGGAGAAAGAGCTATATTTTACCAGAAATCCAGTTTTTAGAGTTGGACCGACATGGGTTGTCTTCCTAGCTCTGCTCCTTACTAGCTATATCGCTTCGGTCAGGCGACTTGCCTGCTTCCTCTGCTGTATGCTGGGTGTAGTGTGACCAGTTTGCAGATCGGAGGGGGCAGGGGTAATGCATGAAGCATCTCACAGAGCACCTATGGGATGTGGCCTTGGTTAGTGCGAGTTAGGGTTCCTCCCAGAGTAAGGAGGGTTTGGGGCTCCCAGTAGGTAAAGCAAAGAGGAAAATTTAATGTGTCACATTGTCTCATTGAGAAATGAGACTGAAGGCAAGTGGTTTGCCAGGAGGGAGAAATTTCCTTGGCTTTAAAATTGTAGGAGAGCAGGGGCGCCTGGGTGGCTCAGTGGGTTGAAGCCTCTGCCTTTGGCTCGGGTCATGGTCCCGGGGTCCTGGGATCGAGCCCCGCATCGGGCCCTCTGCTCAGCAGGGAGCCTGCTTCCTCCTCTCTCTCTGCCTGCTTCTCTGTGATCTCCGTCAAATAAATAAATAAAAAATCTTTAAAAAATAAAAAATAAAAAAATAAAAAAAAATAAAATTGTAGGAGAGCAGTGAACAGTGACAGTGTAGTAATTACTGGTACCATAATACACTTTCACAGAATGTTAAAATACAGATTCTCTAATGTATCGCCTGGTTTTTAAGGTAGATCCCTAGCTGCTATTGCTAATGACTTAGTCTCCTAGAACCTAAATCCCTGGGGTATCTAACATCTACCTTGGGGGAAGATGTTTTTGTGATACTGCAGTTCAGATCAGGTCTGTATATACACCCCTACCCCAGCCCCAGCCTTCTTTCTGAGACCTCTCTCCTTGTCTTGTCTGTTCTTCCTTCCACAAGCTCCATAGAAGCACCTCCTTTTGCTATCACCCTAAGCAAGATCTTGTCCTCTTCTGTCCAAATTATTGTAGTAGTCTCTCCTGCTTCTCTGATGAAAGGCTCTCTGGTCCTTTCTGAATGTTGCTTCCTGACCCTAGCATTCTTCCTATTTTATTCTTCCTTTCTGTTCCACAGCCCAGAGCCTTGTCACTTGTTTTCTAGTGCCTCCGCTAGCAAATCACAGTTTCTTGTTACAGTGCAACAGAAACCAGCTCTGAATAACTCCAGCAGAAGGGGAATCCGTGGAAAGAGTACCAGATAGCTCATGCAATTGTTCGGAAGGCTGGCAGGAGAACTAGCTGTAGGGAAGTAGGTAGAGCTCAGGGACATCATGGCACAGCTGAGGTCATGCATAGTCTTTTTGTGGTGCCATTGCTGTTCCCAGTGCCATTTGCCACTGTGGATCCTGGATGTCCACTGCTCCCCTCTGCTTTATTGCCCTTTGCGAGAGTTAGGAATGCATTTTCTCTATTCTCTTGCCCTCACTTTAGTCTCTCAAGACTCCCTTGAGCACGAATTACCTCCCCTTGCCCTGGCTGCCAGGCTGCTAGCAGTGCTGTTACCCACTTACTTGTACCCTCTGTTGTGGAAAGTAGGTTCTTCCCTACTACCTGTACTAGGACCTTTTCCAAATCTGGAGGGTCCTCAGGGTGGCTGGCTGGATCAGTCAGCAGAACATGCTACTCTTGATCTTGGGGTTGTGAGTTCGAGCCCCACCTTGGGTGTAGAGATTATTTAAAAATAAAATCTTTAAGAAAAAAAAAGATAAACAGAGAGTGCTCAGATGTTGGGTATCCTCACTTGGCAAATCACCAGCTACTCTCCTTTCCCTGGCTGTCTGGATTTTGCATCATTTGTCCTTACTATACAGCCTTTGCTTATGGTTCTGCCTTCCCCCACCCTCCACTCCACTTAATTTGGTCCTTCTTGTTAACCCTGTGTAACTTCTGCTTAGAGTGTCTTCCTCCTTCCTTTTCTTTGAAAACTGAAGGCAGTTCTCAGTCTCCCTGGATTATTTGGGATCAAGTGAGCTTTAAGATACGACAGCTCTAACATAGAGCCTAGTACATAGTAGGTACTCAAAGAGTTTAACCTTTGTGCTGGACTATTTTATCTGAAGTGGTCTGTAAAACTAGAGGAGTTTTACTTCACACCCTTAATTCACCTTTACTTCACAGTCCTTAATGGATTAGTATTCGTGAAGCACTTAGAACAGTGCTTGGCACTGTGTGTTTGCTGAATTAAACAACTTTTACATTATTTGATCTTTTAAAAATTGTAAGTTTTTGTGAAACTAACATAGCTCTGATTGTTACGTATCTCGAAAACTTGTGTGTAAATGGACAGTTGTAGTAGTTTATAGAAGAGAAAATGACTTTATATATTGTTCATATGTGTATTTTCCAATAAAGTCTTTGAATATGGTGAGAATTTAAAAATATGTGGAGTTCTTTTTAAAGGTCTTGCTGATAAACTTTCAGTTAAGAGGAACTGCTATATTTTGTTGTTTACTCTAGAATGGAAGCTACAAGAGTATTCATGCAATGGCCAAAGATATAGATCTCCTAGCAAAAAATGCCAAAACTTACAATGAGCCTGGTTCTCAAGTGTTCAAGGTTAGTTTTTCGCTGTTGTTGTTTTCATTGGTAAGAGTAGACACCTTAATTTAGAGCCAGCAGTTTTTATGTAACGACTTTATTGAGGTGAAATTCACATCATACCATACATTTCACTCAAAGTATATGATTTAATGGTTTTTACTGTATTCTGAGTTGTGCAGCCATGACCACATTCAGTTAACAGTCACACCATTTGCCCCTAGTCTCCCATTTTAGGAGCACTGGCCTACTTTCTGTCTCTGTGAATTTGCCTATTCTGAACATTTCATGTAAATGGAATCACACAGATGTGGTCCTTTATGACGGGCATCTTGCACTGAGCATGACGCTCTTACTACATTCATGTTGCAGCATGTATCAATTCCTTGTTTTTCCATTGCTAAGTAATGCTCCGTTACATTTATATACTATGTTTTAGTTACCCACTTATCAATTGCTAGACATTTGGGTTGTTTACACTTTACAGCTATCATAAAGAATGTTGCTGTGAACATTCATGTTTAAGTTTTTATGTGGACATGGTATTTCAATTTTGGGGGTATGTACCTAGGAATGAAATTACTGGTCCACATGGTAACTAACTATATATTTAACTTCTTGAGGAACCACCAAATTGTTTTCCAAACCAGCTCTACCATTTCACATTTGCACTGGAAATCTGCAAGTGTAATTTTTCCACATTCTCAATAACATTTGTTTTCCGTTTTTGTTTTTATGATAGCCATCCTTGTGGGTGTGAAGTAGCATCTCATTGTGTTTTGAATATTATTTCCCTGATGATTAGTGATGTTGAACATCTTTTTGTGTGTATATCAGCCATTCACATACCTTCTTTGAAAAACTTTTTAATCAGATCCTTACCCCATTTTTTAATTGGGTTACCTGTTTTTTTATTCTTGAATTGTTAGATTTTTTAACATAATCTTGGATATTAAAGTAGGTGTATGATTTACAAGTATTTTCTCCCATTCTGTGGATTGTTTTCACTTTCATGATAATGTCCTTTGACAAAGTTTTTAATTTGGTTAAGTCCAGTTTGCCTTTTTTTTTTTTAATTTTTTTTTTTATTAACATATAATCTATTATTAGCCCCAGGGACACAGGTTTGTGAATCGCCAAATTTACACACTTCACAGTGCTCACCATAGCACATACCCGTCGCAATGTCCATAACCCAACCACCCTCTCCCTGCCCCCAGCAACCCTCAGTTTGTTTTGTGAGATTAAGAGTCTCTTATGGTTTGTCTCCCTCCCGATCCCATCTTGTCTGCTTTTTTTTTTTTTTTTTTTTGGTTGCTTGTATTTCTAGTGTCTTATGTAAGAAAGCATTAATCCAAGGCCATAATGGTTGACACCTGTGTTTTCATCTAAGAATTTTATACTTTCAGCCCTTAAATTTATCCATTTTGGATTTATTTTTGTATACTTGAATTAGGTATGAGGTAGGGATCTACATTCATTCTTCCACACGGGATGCTCATTTGTCCCAGCACCTTATATTCAAAAGACTGTTCTTTCCCCCACTGAACTGCATTGGCACCCTGTTGAAAATCAGTTGACTTAAGGTGTATGGGTTTGTTTCTGTAATCTCAGTTCTGTTCCATTCATTTATATGTCTATCTTAATGTGAGATAGAAAGTTTGGTTTTGATCTACTTTTTAGTGAAATATTGATTTAGTCTCTCCTTTAAACATCATAAATATAAAAAGCAATTTCTGCAGTGCAACACACATTGTGAAATGTCTCTTTCACTGCTTTGCAGTTCTCTCCTAGAAATTTTACAGTCCTGTAACACAGTTGCTTATAGACATTTTTTGTATTAGTGATAAGTCATTGGGAATTTAGCAGAGGATTTTCAGAAAACCTTTTGGGAGTAAAATCATTTAGACTTTTGGGCGCCTGGGTGCCTCAGTGGGTTAGGCCTCTGCCTTCAGCTCAGGTCATGATCTCAGGATCCTGGGATCAAGCCCCATATTGGGCTCTCTGCTAGGCGGGGAGCCTGTTTCCCCCTCTCTCTCTATCTGCCTCTCTGCCTACTTCTGATGTCTGTGTGTCAAATAAATAAAGTCTTTTAAAAAATCATTTAGACTTTCAGAATGCTGCCTCAAATAGAGTTGCTTTTGGTAGTTAACCTATCTTTCAGCTTTTAATCAATATTCATCTTTTAAGAAACTTTGAATGAAAATCAGAAATGAGCTATGAAGTTCCTGTATTCTTAGTCCTTGATAGGACATTAATAGTAGAATACTAATAGTTTGTTGATGCAGTTAAGACTGTACATTTTGGTGTGATTATTTTCCCTAAAATAAATTTTAGAGAGAGGTGAAACTAGATTTGCTATATTAATATGCTATTGATTTAAGCAAGTACATTCATCTAAATTTGTGTGCATAGTCTTTAATCTTAGAAGTGTATCTTTGTGTCAGTTTTTAAGTCAGCGGACACAGATAGAGTTCATTGAATTTTCACCCAATTTTCCTTGTTCACTGTTAGATCTTTGTGCATTACTTGACTAATTATGAAAGACCTGGGGGGCTTTTTAACTGATGTATAATTGTGATGATGTTCTCAAAGATGGAAGGGGTAGAGGATGCAGCTTTATGGATGGTAAATGGACGCCTACTCCAAATGGAAGAGGGCCATAGAGAGTGTCCAGTGCATGACTGACGGCATTTTAAACTGTTCCTTTTTTCCTAAAGCAAGTAATTTTATCTTGACAGGATGCAAATTCTATTAAAAAAATATTTTATATGAAAAAAGCAGAAATTGAACATCATGAAATGGCTAAGTCAAGCCTTCGAATGAGGTATGTTTTTAAAATGTCTATACTCTGGGCACCTGGGTGGCTCAGTCAGTTAAGTATCTGCCTTTGGCTTGGGTCCTGATCCTGGGGTCCTGGGATCAACCGCCACATCCGGCCCCTTGCTCAGCACGGAGCCTCCTTCTCCCTCTGCCCCTCTCCTGCTCGTGCTTTCTCTCTCTCTCTCAAATAAATTAAATCTTAAAAAATAATAATAATGAAATAAAATGTCTAAATCCTTGTGCCTTTTTTATTTACCAAATTTTCTAGCTAGTGGAATCAATGCAGTGGAAAACAAGAAGTATATTGCATTTGAAAAGTATATTTACAGTTGATAATGTGAGTCTGAAGAGAATAGATATAACTCTTCCTCAGCCCTTCCATTGCAGCTGAAGGGCTTTATTTAAAAACAAACAATTTGAGGGCACCTGGGTGGCTCAGTAGGTGAAGCATCTGCCTTCAGCTCAGGTCATGATCCCAGGGTCCTGGGAGCGAGTCCCATGTTGGGCTCCCTGGTCAGCGGGAAGTCTGCTTCTCCCTCCGCCTGCCTCTCTGCTCTGCTCTCTCTCTGACAAATAAATAAAGTCTTTAAAAAAAACAAACAATTTTTGAGGTTAAACACTATTATCTACTCTTATTGCTATATACGTACATAGTCATATTTGTGTGTGACATATACATATTAATGTATATTATATATGGCAAACATCTATATAATATCATGGTATTTTTGTGTTATATTTAATAGTATATATTTATATCGGCCCCAAGAGCATTTAGCCAGATGTCAGGAGATCAGAGTCTCATCCTGGCTCTTTCTTGTGCAAGGACTAGGACTTTGAACAAGTCTTACTTCTGGTATTCCATTGCTTCTTTCAAGAAATGGAAGCTGAGGTGGCTGCCTTCAAAGCTTTCCTTCATTACCAGATCCTTGGTCACTGCAGGGACCATAAGCACTCCAGGACCAGCCCTCGTCTGTTCTCTTTGGCAGAGTCCTGCGGTTTTGGAGCAAAGTGTTCTGTACAGTAATGGCTCAAATATTTGAGCATTTCTACTTACAAACAAAAAAATGCTTGCTTCCTTTTTATTTACCTAGCATTCTGATTCCAGCTGTCAATTTTCTGAGGTTTTTTTTTTTTTTTTTTTTAATCTTATCTCTGGATAGGACTCCATCAAATTTGGCTACAGCCAGGCTGACAGGTCCTTCTCACAGTAAAGGCAGCCTTGGTGAAGAGAGAAATCCCACTAGCAAGTATTACCGGTGAGAGAGTGAGTGTGTTTAGTCTGAAAACTGACCTTGTTTATGAGGCTAGGCTTACTAGTGTTTGCCTGATGGCTATCAGGAAGTAATTTTTTGGGGTATAATTGGGTTATTATGACAATTGTTATCAAATAACCTTATTTAAAAGGTTGAGGCGCCATAGTCGGCCTGACCTGCCTGACTTCTGGAAAATGCTTAAGCAGAAGTTATTTGTCAGAGAGTGTTTAATATTTCCAGTAAAATTAATTGTGGTAAAATACTAAAAGATTTTGTATTCGAAATAGAATTTGTGTTCATTGTAGGATATGAACATCTTAGAAGAGAATTAACCGGTAAAGATGAATGAATCTTTATATTTTGTAAAATAAGGAGTAGTGCTGCATTTAAGTAACACAATTGCAAGTAGCCTACTTTAGGCTTTCTACACCACTCCCTCTCTTTTCAGAGAAAAAATTGGTCTTGGCTAAGATTGCTTATGGGGACTGTTAAAAGTAAAAAGATAAATTGAGCACACAGTTGAATAGAAATTGTTTTTCTTGATGTGAATGCTTTCTTAACAGTTTCTGTTTCCTGTAAAGTAACCAAATTATTATAACCTCTTTCCCTGTCTTCTGATTACTTGTTTTTCTTTGTAGAAATAAAAGAACAGTCCAAGGGGGTCGTTTGTCAGCAATTACCATGGCACTTCAGTATGGCTCAGAAAGTGAAGAGGATGCTGCTTTAGCTGGTGGGTATTAGGTCATGACTAGTTAATGCCTTCTCAGTGGATCTTCTAGTGAAGGAAAGTTACAGTAACTTTGGTCTGGCTGGGAGTTTGTCAGTTTTTGGAGTACATGTTGTTTTGTTGTGTTTTGACTGCACTCTTTGATTGGCCAACTTATCAACACCTTATTTTGTGTTATATCTTGTATGTAAGTAAATAAATACTTCTATAAGAACAATTGGTTTTCTAGCCTTAGCAGATCCTGGTTTCAAGCGTATAATGATAAATAATGAGTGAGTACTAGTGACGCCATCGAGAAACCCGAGGGAGACATTCATACCATCTTAGATTTCCAGGTCACTGGCTTATATTTTCAGTAGGCTATAATTTCTTCCTGGCTAGAGCTTCTGATTTAAAGATAATGTTAAAAAAAGAAAAAAGATAGATGTAAATTACAATCAGAGCACCATAGTCAGTTGTCATTTAAACCAGTTCAACACAGGACATTTGGCAATAATATCCATGTAAAAAGTACACTGTCTGTTAAATAGCAAAGAATAGCTGTAGAGATATGTTTGATTTCATTGTCTCTGTCTGCAGTGTGCTGTAATGTTCTTTATTTTACTACAGACAATTTTTATATGTACAGATAAAATTTATTTCATGAAATTACTCTGGCCTATTGTCAGATTTCATCATCAAGTATGAGAACAGATTTTTCCACCTGTGTGTCTTATTTTCTACTAAATCTTGCATAGAAGGTTCAAAATTACTGTAGATTACTTATTAGAGTATAGATGTGATTTTTTGACACTCATCTACAGAATTTCTTTTTAACTTAAATTAAGTCGTGTTATCAGAAATTGAAGGAAAATTTGTTTTTATTAGCTTTGTTTTTCACTGGTTATAAAAGTGACACACATGTTTAGGTTTCCTTCTAACATTTGGTTACTTCATTAACCTTATAAGTAGCATGACGAATTGAAGGAAAACCCACCTAAAAAGCATTTATTTATTTATTTATTTTCTAAAAAATAGTACTAGCGTTCTTCTTTAGTAACCTTAGCTATTAGAGTATCTGCCAGTCAGCTTTGTATGTAGTAGATCTTTCAGGCTGCTCTGCATAGCTGTTTACCCTTGATTTAGCCAAAATTCTAATCTATTTGGTTTCTACTTCCTGCTGCTAGAAACAACTTAGGGGTAAGATACAGTTAAAATAGCAAAGAAGGGATAACTGATGATCTTGGAGGGACAAGTAAGAGCCCATGGAGAGAAGACATAAGAATTCAGAACCCCCTCCCCCAAAATTCAGAAAATGTGGCCTGTGTTCTTGGGGTGATTTGTTTTAGAGACCAACTACTTTATGTAGCCTGGGGCGGGGCCGCAGGGCGGGTAGAGAAGCACGCCCACTTGTAGTCACTCTAAGAACAGAAATGGGGTGAGGGATAGAATCAGAAAAACAGATCAACCTTTCAGTCCTCCTCCGCAAAAACAAAATAAGTAAAGAAGACAAAAAGAAACAGAGAAAATGGGACAAGTGGAAAGTATAAAGTTGAGAGAGACAACTCCAAAAATTGTATCAGAAATCACATCAGTGTTAATGACCCAAATTTGCCAGTTATAACAGTTTTAGATTAGATTTTTTTTTTTAATCAGGTTGTATGCTGATTGTAAGAGACACATCTGAAATGTCAAAATACAGGAAAGTTTAATGTAAAAGGACAGAAAAAGATACACAGGGCAAATAATAACCAAAGGATAGTTACATTGACTTCTGATAGAACGAACTTTTAAACAGAAAGCATTACCAAGGATAAAAAGGATCCACCTCATAATGATAAAAGGTTTATTTCAGCAGGAAGATAAATTACAAAACTCAAAATACATAAAACAACCAGATAGAAGGTGGCAGAGAAAGTGAAAACATTGCCGTAGAGTGGGAGTTCACTGCTCTCCATTGCTAGATAAGCAGCCAGAAAACCAGTGAAGACGACGATTTGAATACACAGCGATTATTTCTCACCAGTGTGTTTATTTCCTGTTGCTGCAAAAACTAATTACTATAAACTTGGTTTGGTGGCTTAGGTGATAAACCATTCCCTCTCCTTTTCTAATTTCTAGAAGCTAGCTGTATGCCTTGGCTAATGACTTCTTCCTCTCTATTCAAAATGTAGCACTCCCAGTCTCTATCTGTCATCTTGTCTCCTTTCTCCTTTGACCTTGCCTGCCTCTTATAAGGACCCTTGCAATTACATTTAGTGCTCAGAGTTTAATCCAGGATAATCTCCCAAATTCAGGATCCTTAACTTAATCATATCTGCAAAGTCTCTTTTGCCGTATAAGGTAATAGTCACAGTTTTGTGAATTAAGACTTGGGTATATTGGGGGGTACTATTTAGCTAACACAAGATGGATATAAACAGGCAAGTATTCCTCTGATTCTTGTGGAACAATCACAGATATTAATCATGTACTTAGCCATGAAACAAATTTCAACCAATTTAAAAGTTGGGTATTTTACAGGTATATTTCTGACCATAATACAGCTGTGGTAAACACCTAATCTTTAAAAGGTAAAAGTTATCCAGAGTGGCTGCATCAGCTTGCATTCCCACCAACAGTGTAGGAGGGTTCCCCTTTCTCCGCATCCTCGCCAGCATCTGTCATTTCCTGACTTGTTAATTTTAGCCATTCTGACTGGTGTGAGGTGATATCTCATTGTGGTTTTGATTTGTATTTCCCTGATGCCGAGTGATAGGGAGCACTTTTTCATGTGTCTGTTGGCCATCTGGATGTCTTCTTTGCAGAAATGTCTGTTCACCTCTTCTGCCCATTTCTTGATTGGATGATTTGTTCTTTGGGTGTTGAGTTTGCTAAGCTCTTTATAGATTTTGGACACTAGCCCTTTATCTAGATGTCCATCAACAGATGAATGGATAAAGAAGATGTGGTATATATACACAATGGAATACTATGCAGCCATCAAAAGAAATGAAATCTTGCCATTTGCGACGACGTGGATGGAACTAGAGGGTATCATGCTTAGCGAAATAAGTTAATCGGAGAAAGACAACTATCATATGATCTCCCTGATATGAGGAAGTGGAGATGCAACATGGGGGGTTAAGGGGATAGCGAAGAATAAATGAAACAAGATGGGAGTGGGAGGGAGACAAACCATAAGTGACTCTTAATCTCACAAAACAAACTGAGGGTTTCTGGGGGGAGGTGGGTTGGGAGAGGGAGGTGGGGTTATGGACATTGGGGAGGGTATGTGCTATGGTGAGTGCTGTGAAGTGTGTAAACTTGGCGATTCACAGACCTGTACCCCTGGGGATAAAAATATATGTTTATGAAAAATAAAAATAAATAAATAAAAATTTAAAAATCATTTTAAAAAAAAAGGTAAAAGTTAAAAACCCAAACACTCAGGAAATAAAAAAGTCTCCAAATGCTTGGGTTTTTCTTTTTAAAAAGGAAAAATTGTAATAGGAATTTAATTACCTGAGATTGAACAATAGCAATAATGAGAACAGTATATATCAAAACAGTGGGGACAAAGCTAAAGCTGTACTTTGGAGAGAAGGTTAAGTCTGAAAGTGTCTATTTAGAAAAGCAGCTGAAAGTCAATGAACTAGGGACTCCCAGGTGGCTCAGTGGGCTAAGCATCTGCCATCAGCTCAGGTCCTGGGATTGAGCCCCACATCAGCCTCTCTGCTTCTCCCTCTGATCTCTCTCACTCTCACTCTCAAAAAAAAAAAAAAAAAAAAGTGAACTAATAAACATCTAACATAAGTAAATAATAAGAGGATAAAAGCAGAGACATTAGAAGAAAAGGTAAGAAAGCTAAGAGCAGAAATGAATTTGTTAGAAAGGAAACCTATGGTAGAAAAGAACAATACATTCAGAGTTTTTCTGTTAAAACTATTAATAAAATAGGCAAATCTGTGGTGAGACTGTCAAGAAAGAAACAGAAAGGGGCGCCTGGGTGGCTCTGTTGTTAAGCATCTGCCTTCGGCTCAGGTCATGATCCCAGGGTCCTGGGATCGAGCCCCATGTCAGGCTCTCTGCTCAGCCGGAAGCCTGCTTCTCCCTCTCCCACTCCCCCTGCTTATGTTCCCTCTCTCGCTGTCTCTCTCTGTCAAATAGTAAGTAAAATCTTAAAAAAAAAAAAAAAGGAAAGAAAAAGAAACAAGGCACAAATCGTATGAGGAGAAAAAGGGAGCATACAGATTACAAAGAATGTATGAACAGCTTTACACAAACAAATTTGAACATTTAGATGAAATGGGCAAATTCCTAGAAAGTGATAAATGCCTAAAACTGATTCAAGAATAAAAAGACTGATTAGTTTTACATTACTAAAGAAATTAAATTATTAGTTACAAATCTTTCCCCATGGAAAACACCAGTCCAGGTGTGCCTGGGTGACTCAGTGGGTTAAAGCCTCTGCCTTCGGCTCGGGTCATCATCCCAGGGTTCTGGGATCAAGCCCCACACTGGGCTCTCTGCTCAGTGGGGAGCCTGTTTCCTCCTCTCCCTCTGCCTGCTTCTTTGCCTACTCGTGATCTCTGTCTGTCAAATAAATAAATAAAATCATAAAAAAAAAAAAAACAAAACACACACAGGCCAAACATTCGAGGAACAGAATACATACAAAGTCCTGCAGAGAATAGAAAAAAGCTCCCTATTTCATTCTATAAAAATGATAGAACCTAGATACCGAAACTCAACAAAAAGAAGCACACTGTATCTAGTAGTGTATATAAAAAATAATGCATGATAACACAGTTGGCTTATTCTAGGAATACTAGGTCATTTCAGCATTAGATAAAGTAAAAGTATTATTCACTGTGTTAATACTTTAAGAGAGTAAGCTGTATTATTGGCTCAGCAGATGCATTTGATAAATTCTTCAATTCCTAGTTATGATGAAAACTTAAGAAATTAGTAATAGAAGGGGATCTTTCCTAACTTGGTAAAAACACCTGTTTTTAGTGGAGAAATACTTGTGGCATTCCCTTTACCATAAGTAAAAATGTTACCACTTTTGATCAAAGTACTAGCCAGCTGACCGTGACAACAATGAAGGAGTAAGAATCAGAAAAGAAGGTTTATAAGGATTGCAGTTGAAAGATTGTTGTGTGTTTTCTTTGTTTTTTAGTTTTTTCCTCAGAAGACTGTAAGGCAAATTATTGGAATTAATAAGAATAATAAGGTGCTAGATATAAGATCATTATACAAAAATCTGTTTCATTTCTGGAATCAGCCACAAAAAGAAAATATAATTTTTAAAAAGATACAGTTTACAGTAGCAACAAAACATCTACGTATAAATCCAACTAAATATGTGCAAGCTCTTTATGGAGAAGATCAGCAGTAGTAGGGACAGAGAAAACTACTTACAGATCCTCTCTCTGCTTCTGGCTCCATGACTAGATCCAAATCCTCTCTCAACTCTCCTGAGTCTGGTGCCTGTCTGTCTCTTACACTATAGCTAAGTACTTACCAAATGATTGTCATTCTTACCCAGGAGCAGTAGTGACTTTGATTATGCAGATCCGTCAAGAAAAACTTAAACTATGGTCCTTATACACTGTTGAAAAATTTAGGGAAATAATGTATTTTGTTTTTCTATAAAAATGATTACATTTTATTGTGGTGTTTTTGTGATTAGCTTCTACTTAAAATTCTCTCGATAAGAGAAGAAATCATTCTTAAAGGATGCTATAGATCAGTGGGGCAAAATCACAGAGACTTAAAGCAAAACCAGATCTACCAATATCAACCGGATATCAGTATATATTTATATTACCCTGAACTACATGCTACTGCGTTAGTTCTGAGATCTGTATGTATATGGCTACTTGATCCTTTTCTTGGCCAAACAATGCAGCAGGGAGTCTCTAAAGAAGGCACATTTAGGGAGGGGTGCCTGGGTGGCTCGGTTGTTGGGCGTCTGCCTTCGACTCAGGTCATGATCCCGAGTCTTGATCCGGTCTTGGGATCAAGCATCGAGTTGGGCTCCCTGCTCGGCAGGAGGTCTGCTTCTCCCTCTCCTGCTCCCCCTGCTTGTGTTCCCTCTCTAGCTGTGTCTCTCTCTGTCAAATAAATACATAAAATGTTTTTTTTTTTTTTAAAAAGGCACATTTAAAGAGAGAAACTATTTTGTAACTTTTAAAAAACATGTTTTCTGTGTAACACTTTATTCTGTTTCTGTGTAACATTTCTCTAAGTAAATATACAATTATATTAAGCACTACTAACAGCATCTTTAATGACAGCTGGAAACTCTTCTTTTAAAATAAGTATTCTCAAACATATAAATCTTACTTTGGAAGGTCGTTAAAAGAGCTTTATTTTAAACTATGGTTCTTTCTTCCCCTTTTTTGCTTTTTTTTTAGCTGCACGTTACGAAGAAGGAGAATCGGAAGCAGAGAGCATTACTTCATTTATGGATGTTTCAAATCCTTTTTATCAGCTTTATGACACAGTTAGGAGTTGTCGGAATAACCAAGGGCAGCTAATAGCTGAACCTTTTTTCCATTTGCCTTCAAAGAAAAAATACCCTGACTATTATCAGCAAATTAAAATGCCTATATCCCTACAACAGATCAGGTAAGATGCCTTCTACATTACTCGATAGAAATCCATTTTCTTGTGGTTGAGCCTGCACGTGTATCTCCTTACTAGAATGGATAAAGATATTAAAGGTAAAAATATTTTCACATGTCTAGAGTATATTTTGAATATCACTTCTATATGAAAACTGAGAAATAAATTTGATTAAATACGAATATTATTTATACTGTAATAGAGTCAAGGCAAATAAACAAAAACATGATAGGCATTTATTTGTGTATCAGATTATAGACTATAGAGTCATGCAGCTCAGAACTTAACTGTTCATTTTCTTACAACTGAGCAAAACATAAAAATCTTTCTGCTTATACTTTTTACTGATTTTTTTTTATTATTGGTATTTTAAATATAACACTTAAACTCTATTTAAATTTTTATCTAAAGTTGAATCCAGAATAAGCACAGGCAGCTCTTAGAGAATTCATTAGCTGAAACAGTACCTGAAAGATGGCTCATCTTGGTTTCCCTTTTCTGTTTAAAACAATCATTGGGGGTTGCCTGGCTGGCTCAGTCAATAGAGCATGCAACTTTGGATCTCAGGGTCGTGAGTTCAAGCCCCACACTGGACATGCAGCCTATAATCATCAATCAATCGATAAAACAAATGTTGGGAATTCAGATAGAATATTGAAACCCCACCACCTCATCATTAAAATAATAGGAAATAAGTAATATCATAACTCTCACAGTGCGAGTTAGGTTCTACAGTATACTCAGAGGTGACAAGGTAAAAATATATCTTAACTAGGCAAAATTAGAGTAGGCTGGTATTTATCAGGACAGATAACTAACCTTTCAAATAATAGCAATTAAAATTCTTATATTTGCTGGATTCTAGAAAATGAGATTGCTAACAACATAATGTTTCATGGTTTTGCATTTGTAACTTCTGTTTTCATCAGTTGGTCAGTAAAATTTATGGTGTTTTTACTTAATGCAAACTTAGGAGGTTTTGTACCCAAATAGGATACAGAAAGTCAGTTTATTTGATCCTCTTAAAATAACATGGAAATTAAAGCTGCCATTCATTAAAAAAATAGCTTGGAAATTTGTCTTTTATACTCTTTGCCTTGGAAAAGATAGTGACAGTCTTATAGGTGTTGAGAGATTCCCTTTTAACTCAACAATTTTTTTTTAAAGATTTCATTTATTTATTTGACAGATACAGATAGCAAGAGAGAGAACACAAGCGGAGGGAGTGGGAGGGGGAGAAGCAGGCTTCCCACTGAATGGGGATCCTGGTGGCGGACCTCGATCCCAGGAGCCTGGAATCATGACCTGAGCTGAAGGCAGATGCCTGACTACTGAGCCACCCAGGCACCCCATTAACTCAACAGTTTTTGTCTTTTGTTTCTTTTCTCCCTCAGCCTTTTTTTTTTTAGTCTAAATAATGAGTTTAGTGTAAAGGAAGACATATTCTCAGCCAACCCAAACACCTGCCTACAACTTTCTTCTAAGTTAGAATTTTCTTTTTTTTTTTTCTTTTTTTAAAGATTTTATTTATTTATTTGACAGAGAGACTGAGATCACAAGTAGGCAGAGGCAGGCTCAGAGAGAGAGAGAGAGAGAGAGAGGGAGGGAGGGAGGGAGGGAGGGAAGCAGGCTCCCTGCTGAGCAGAGAGCCCAATGCGGGACTCCATCCCAAGACTTTGAGATCATGACCTGAGCCGAAGGTAGAGGCTTAACCCACTGAGCCACCCAGGCACCCTAAGTTAGAATTTTCTAATAGAAACCTTGCTTGGTTAAGTCAGTAATTCTGCACCTTTCCCCCTTTTTAAACTTATTTCTTGACAGTTGTCTGGCACACAGGTAGAGGAGTGTGAGGAACAGAAATGACTGAGGCTTAGCTGGTAGCACACTAGAGTTTTGAAGGGTCAGCTCTTAGCGTGACTAATCTACCTCGTTTCCAAGGACACATGGCCAGTGGTGCCTGACAGGACGTGGCCTATCTTCCATTGTCTCTGCATTAGAGCAACGTGAAAATCTACAGCAGTGCTGCCCGGTAGAACTTTCTATGATAGTGGAAATGTTTTCTGTGCCCTGTCCAATATGTTAGCCACTAGTCACATGTGACTATTGAGCACTTGAGATGTGGCTGGTGCAACTAAGGAACTAGATTTTAAATTTTACTTCAATTTAGAAAGCCACATGTGGCTAGTGGCTAATGTTATTATACGGCACAGTCCTAGGAAGATATTTTGGCAAAAGGATGATAGTTGAGTGTCATCAAAAGCAACAAAAATAGGGGCACCTGGGTAGCACAGTCATTTAAGCATCCAGCTCTTTATTTCAGCTCAGGTCATGATCTCAGGGTCCTGGGATCGAGCCCCACCTCAGGCACCATGCCCAGCAAGGAGTCTGCTTAGGACTCTCTTGTCTCTGCCCCTTGCCCCCAGGCACACATGCTCTCTCGCTCTCTTTCTCTCTCTAAAATAAATAAATCATTTTATGGGGCGCCTGGGTGGCTCAGTGGGTTGAGCCTCTGCCTTCGGCTCGGGTCATGATCTCAGGGTCCTGGGATCGAGCCCCGCATCGGGCTCTCTGCTCGGCGGGGAGCCTGCTTCCTCCTCTCTCTCTGCATGCCTCTCTGCCTGCTTGTGGTCGCTCTCTGCCAGGTAAATAAATAAAATCTTTAAAAAAAAATAATAAAATAAAATAAATAAATCATTTTAAAAAGGGCAACAGAAATGAAAGACTGGGCAGGAGCTAGACAGTGTGGCCCAAATGCTACCTTCCACTGTGCTGGGGCTTGTCATCCCCATCTTTTATTTCCCTTTGTGCCTATCCTGTCCCCCTCTAATTTTGGTGGACATCAGTCTGATAAATATCTGCACATTTATTATAGATTGTCATTTACAAGTTTGACTTCCACGTCTGTTCTTTGTGGGGATTGAGAATAGTCAGCACATTACTCTCGGAGTAATTACTCTCAGAGTTGGCAGCAGTAAGTCTGAGGCTGTAATTTAAATGCTGAGTGCTAGCCACGTAGGCTGGTACTGAGAGCTGAGTTTGTGTGTGGTTGTTTGCTCTACCCCCAAGGTGTTCTCTGACATTCGTGTCTTTCTAAGCAGTGTACAAGTACTTCAGTCAAAAGATTTAAAAGTCTATCCCGTGTACATACAGATTTAGGGCAAACTGACTCTTCACTTCATGTAAATGTATAAGGGACATGGGGCACTTGGGTGGCTCAGGTGGTTAGGCATCCGACTCTTGATTTCAGCTCAGGTCATGATCTCAGGGTTGTGGGATCAAGCCCTGCATGGCCTCCCCACTCAGCAGGGAGTCTACATGAGAGTCTCTTTTCTCCCCCACCCCTGCTTTTTTCCCCTGTGTGCATTCCCATGCACATTCTCTCTCAGATGAATAAATAAATCTTTTTAAACAAAATGTAGGGATGCCTGAATGGCACAGTCACTTAAGCATCTGACTCTTGGTTTCGGCTCAGGTCACGATCGCAGGATCTTGGGATCATGTCCCAGGTCAGGCTCCGTGCTCAGTGCAAAGTTTGCTTGAGAATCTCTCTTGCTCTGTCCCTCCTGTTCATGCTCTGTCTCTCTCTCTGAAATAATAAATACCTAAATCTTTGAAGTAAAATTTATAAAGGACTTTATGAGTTTGGTATTAACAACAGCCATAGTGTCTGAAAGATATCAGAATTCTTAAGACTTACGTAAAATAAGTAATGTCAATTTTAAGCCATCATAATTAGTTGCAGATGTTTGTATTAGAAGAAAAGTAGTCAGTGGGCCCTAATGTATCTGCCTCTCATTTGCCATCTTAAGACCTCTTCGTTGTACGTATATATACATATCCCCTTTCATGGTGTTGAGAGTACCTTCTCTTTTCATTAACCTTCATGAACTGGAATGGCCTCTTATCAGAAGTGGCTAGATCACCATGGTTCTTCATTAAGGTATCTTAAACCTCCATGATTTTTCTTTTTTCTTCCTGGGGTTTGCATGTTAACCACTAACAGAGGTTTTCCATTAGGATTTTTGCTAATATATGTGCTTTGTAATTGACCACCTTGGCACGTAGGTCCTCTTATTATTTCTTATGTTTCTGGATTTCCAGGTAGACTGTCATACTGCCTAAATACAATGGTGCTTTTGTCTCCTTTCTGTCTTGAAGGTAGATGGGCCTCTCATCAGTATCACAAGTAAAGAGGTCAGCTAGTGCGTGCTAGGATTTTTGTACCAAACTTTCAGTAAGGGTATTTCATCATTTTCTTAATGGTAAATTGTAGCCCTGTGTTTGTCTTTCACAGAACAAAGCTAAAGAATCAAGAATATGAAACTTTAGATCATTTGGAGTGTGATCTGAATTTAATGTTTGAAAATGCCAAACGCTACAATGTTCCCAATTCAGCCATCTACAAGCGGGTTCTGAAATTGCAGCAGGTCATGCAGGTATGATCCCCGGATTTGCTTAGCTGTGGTACGGACAGCTGGAATAATTCCACAGACTGGGAGTGTGTGCTTTTAAGATGTGTGATTTCTCCCAGCAGTATCACATCATTTGTTTCAACCACAAGTACTGCTGAGTATGTTTTTTTAGAGTTGTCAGGAACATGTAGAGTAGGAATAATAATTTAGACTGGGCTAGCCTTGTGAGTGGAAGAAGCAGGGATTTGTGCGTGGGAGGTAATTTTAGGGCCTCAGGAAGTTTCCCTCCAGTCGCAGATGGTCCTCTATCATGTAGATTTTATTTCTTTGGTTCTAGACTTGCGTATGTTACGGTAGCAAAATTGGTCCTAGGAGAAGGTAACTAATCACTGTACAGTGTTCAGGAATTTTTCAGATCCTTTCTGAGAGCACGTCTTAGTGGGCACGGGAAGTCATGGGTGATCTAGGCGTTTTGAAGAAAGGCAGAGGTACGAAATACAAATTGTGTCTGTCAGTTTTGAGTAGAATCTTTCTGGAAAAAGAATCCCGGAGCAAGGAAGCAACAAAAGAATTTTGGATCCCCTGGAGAATCTTCGTTCTGTGTAATTGATCCCGGCCTCGGTGCTGCGCATTTCATGTATTTCCTTTCGGCGCTGCGCGCGCATTCCCTAAGTCTGCAGCGGTCGGACTTTCAGCTCTTTGGCAGAAGGTCTTTAAAAATGCATGTGTTGGAAGTAGATCTTCTTTCACCTCTCGCGTTAAACCTTCTTCTTAGCCACAGCATCGCTGAAGAAGTCCAAGGCACCAAAAACTGTCTTTAGTTGGCTTCGCCTAAAAGTGGCAGGACACTCCTACAACTTGCCTCAGCGCTTTGAACAAGCCGGTGCCCTTGTAGTCTGGTACTTGAGCTAGTGTTGCGTCCTCAATCTGCCAGATCCAGTTTTTAACCTACTTGTCTACAGGTCGTGCAGGCTTTTGTCAGACCGGGTTATTGAAAATGTTTACTGACTCTTTAATTCTGTGCATCTTACATGTGGTTGTATTTCTCTAAGAGAATCTGGTATGTCTAGCTGTTTAATATTCATATATTCTGAGAGCATTCAGCAGGAGAGCTTGACTCCCAGGGTCTGCTCTGTTTCAGGCAAAGAAGAAGGAGCTTGCTAGGAGGGATGACATTGAGGATGGAGACAGCATGATTTCTTCAGCCACCTCTGATGCTGGTAGTGCCAAAAGAAAAAGGTACATATTCTTCTCATAGATGGAGACATCTATTTTTCTATCATTTTGTTTTTGATAAGTGCAGAAAAATGTGTCTTTAAGCTGTCAGGTATGAATTTGCTTACAAGCTCTAATTATTTGCTAACAGATCTTCTGTTAGAATTCATTTGTGAATCGTATGATCAGCACTGCTATTGGTGCAAGTGCCGGAATGGCTGTAGATCGCAAGGACGAAAGTGACAGCTCCTTACAGGGCTCGGCAAAGCATGTTACTCTGTTGGCTGTCTGGGCCATTTTGCTTTAATGTAGCATTTCAGGAGAGCCACTTGAATCTCATTTAGGTAATTTCTACATGGTGAATTGCAAAAAAATTCAGTACTATCACTACAGTGAAGTAAGTCGCTGATACTCTCACGTCTTTGGTTTTACTTATTAATCTGATCTTTATTTGCCATTTTAAGGATGTCAGATTGTAAATTACCAAGTCACAACTTCTTGTAGTTGATAAAATGCTAAGCTAGTTGTTTGGTTTTTCTCTCTCATGTTTCTCCGAACTTCCGTCCCCCTTCCTTTCTCTCATGGGTTCTGTGGAAGGACTCTTCACTGTCAGATTCTGAAGCTGGACTCTATAAAGAATCCTGCAAGAGCGACTCTTTTGTCTACGCCTCCCACACAGAGTTTCTCTGGCTCGATCTTTGTCGAACACCATATTCTCCCTCAGCCTTAACTGTCTCACCATCTTTGTAGCAGCAGTCACTCCAGGGAGGACACCACGAACAAGAAATAAGCTAATCACTAATAGTGGGGGCAGATCCAGAGTTGAATGAAGAAGTCACTAATAACATTAAGAGATCCACTGAGAGCAGAGGCTTTTAAAAAGTGGTTTACAAAAGAGAAGCTATCCCATCTTTACCTCTTACAAATAGCATTTGGGAAAACTTTTTTAGCTTTGGGAGTAACTGCTGTGCTATGCCATGGTAATGAAATTGATTGGTGTACCCTGAGATGTGAGTCTCCTCCATTACTGGCCTATGAATTTCATCCTTCCAAGTTCTTAATTCCTTGTTATACCAGGGACAACGGAGGAAAAATGTGAAACCAGATCAGAAACATCAAGTCAAGGACATCTTTGAGTGTAATTATATAACTACTACAGCATCACCTGTGTTTTCCAGATCAGTCACCCATCAAAGATAAAAACTTCTAAGGCAAAAGAAGGTAATGGAGGCAAAGTGATGGTACAGTTAGTGCCAACACCGAATGGAAAGAGATCTGAAACTAGTTGAGCGTTACAACTGTTCTGAGGAAGCGTTAGCCCAGGCCAGATCCTTAATGACCTCTCTGTCTCTGTGGCTTATAGTTGGTGGGACAACCCAAGTAAATCACAGGAAAGTTATTGCTCTAAAACCTCCCACAAAAAGAAAACTGAAGCATTATGTTGTTGAATTCATAAAATCCTCCTTCAGATAAAATGTCTCTGTAAACAGGTTTCCTAGGAAGTGAAAAACACAAATAAGAGAAGAACAAATTTAAATCATAGCTAAAGCAATAAAAGAACATTCCTGGTTTTGAAATACAGGCATGAATAGACAGAGGTTGAGAGAAGCGAGTCCTATGCTTTGAACTGTGTCAAAGAAAGAAATGTTAACGAGCCTTTTAGGAGGTAGCTCGTTATGTTACGAGGTTTTGCTAATGAGAAATAGACTTTTCGGGAATTCAGGCAAACATAGCTGCCTAGTCAGCTTGTCCAGTGAAGTCAGGGCCAGGTTTTCTAAGTACCACTTGACTTCTCAATACTGTGTATGATTCTATCTTTGCCTTATTTTTTTAATATCAAAAAGTGTGGGAAAAAAATGTATGTTCTCTTCATTCTGGGAGTACAGTCTTCTCCCCCACCCCTTTGCCCAAAAGTCTACCTGCTGTTTTCCTGTTAAAATGTTCCAAGTATTCTTAATATCTTTTATCCTTTGGATTGGATAAGCCTCTTTTTTCTCAACCGTATTTGGTTTATACATGACCCTCCTATGTTGCTTGTTTTGTTTCTCTTTACATGTAATGTTTGTTTCTGCTTTCCCAGGAACACTCTTGACAGTGAGGTGTTGGGTCTCAGGAGGCTCTCCAGGTGTGCAGTCCTTTTTTATGCATAAACGTATTTTTAAAAGTATAACTTCCGTGGCATGGTCTGTACTGATTAGGTGAAAAGTGAAGTCTTAAGCATGTGAAATAAGTTTTTATTTGGGTGCCAGTCTGTTTTATGAGTAAAGAAAGCAGAATAGTTGAGAAGTACAGTTGGTAGAATAAATTCGGGATTAGTTCGCCTCGATATGTTCTGAAGCGTCGATTTGTTGCTAGCTCTGTCAGCAGCCGCCAGCCCTGTCACCAGTCATGGTGGTTGTGCTTGTGCAACAGAAGGTGGAGGCTGAGAATATGACAGTGTCGCCAGTGTCCAGAGGCTGGCAGATGCTGGTGCCCTTTCAGGGATCTCTTACACATGGGGGTGGGGGTAGAAGGATCAAAACCAATGCTGACAGTCCAAGTGAAGTCAGCCTGGGTTGGCACCTGTGCATTGGGTTAGGGCTTCTTAAGCATGAATACATTCATCAGTCTCTGATCTTACCCATGTTTTATTTCTTTGAAAGCATCCATTCTTTTGCATGTCACTTTTGATTTTTAAATTATGAGTTGCCTTATTACAGTCCTGGTCATCCTTGTGTGGTGCTTTTATTTTCACCTTAGCCTTCTGGCGTTCATGGAGTGTCAATTGCTGACAGAACACCAGACTCCACTGTTACAGGCCATAAAGGAAAATGTTCAGGTGTCACCTCTGTGTGCCAGGAACTTACTTGCCAGGAAGCAAGGCAGGTTGAAAACAAATGAAATTGTGTGGGAGCAATGTCTTAGAATAATTGCACAAGGTACACAGTTACGTAGTTTTATAGAACTACATGCATGACTGCCCAAAGAGCTCTAGGAATTAGGATTTCCCTATCATGCTTTTCTTTGCAGTTTAGATGTTCTAAAGTTATCTGCATTTTGCTCCCATAGGCAGTCTGCTCTACAAAATTACTGTGTTATCATTATCTTCTTCCTGATATTTTCCTTAAGAAAAATGTCCTTAAATCACAAATTTAAGAAAAAGACCATGGGTTATATTTCTCTTACATCATTCATAGTGTGTATGGCACTAACTCTAGGTAGTAGTAGAAATAGAAATCTGGGGCATTTGGAGGAGTAGTATAACCCCAAGCTCTAGAACCTAACTGCCCAAGTTCAAATCCTAGTTATTCTAATTAGCTCTGTGATCTGAGCCTTACTTCAGTTTCTTCATCTGAAAAAAGAGTTGGTAACTGTACCTACTTAAGGTCATCATGAGGACCTAGGTGGTTGATGTGTTTAAAGCCCTTAGAACTGGGCCTAGATGCAGTTAGTACTCAATAAATGCAACTCTGATTATTTTCTGGAAGTAGTTCCTATTGATGTTAAGGCTCGGGAGATTTCATTTTTTTTTGTAGTCCATTGTTACTAGCCTGGGAAACTAATTAGAAAAGATTTGTTATTTATTAAAAGATTTTTCTTATTAAAAGGTTTTATTCCTTGTAGACATGAAGATGCAGTGAATGTAGCAAACCTTGTAAAGGAGAGAACCTTTGGGTTTATTTAGTTTAACAGCAGACACCACTGAAACTCTAGGACCAGGGAGTTAAATGCTGGGAGACCTGGGAGCCTATGAACAGGGTAGAGAGGCCCATGGTAAGTGCTGACTTTTGGGAAAGGGAAGGACATCATAAAAGCAGCCTGGTGATTATCAGCTGATTCAAGTCTTAGTTCTGATTGCTCACTTTGTGACCTTGGGTATTCGCTTGACCCCTGTAATCCTCCAGTTTTCCAACTGCAAAGTTGGGATAGTAAGTGTACCTGGTTCTTAGAGCTTGAGGATTAAATGAGGTCACACATAACAGTGCTTTACTAGCACAGCCCCTGGCACGTGGAAGAAGTGTTAGCTATAACCATAAATGGGAATTTTGTGTGTATATATGCAAATGTGAATACATATAATTATAAGTGATAGCTTCAGAGGAAATATAATGTTAAGGACGTTTGAGAATATAGTCAGCCACAAAGTATGAGGTTAAAGACTAACACTATGGCATAAAAAATTTAAAGGAAAGATCAGATCCAGAAGGGCTGTGGAGGTTCCTCTAAAACTTGGTGAAAAACTAAGAGAAGCAAAAAGTGACAGTGATTGCAGTGGTTCAAGCTGGGTTGGGAGTCAGGAGGATGGTGGTAGTGCTGGCCCTGGAAAATCTGATTCAGAACACAGCCTCTTCCAGCTTCTAATCTTTGTGCAATTAAGAAAAAGCACCCATTTCTCAAGACACTTCCATTTGTTGGAATCGCTGTAGTATAATGATTTTGTTAGCACAGAACCCATCATGGCCTATCTTCTGTAAAATTCTAGAACTGCATACTTCTTATAACAAAGTCTATTTTTGAATTGGTGTCCCCTTTTAAATGTGGCCCACATAAGTACACAATGATAAACAGCCCTGGTTTTGAACTCCCTTAAGATACATTTTACTGCAGTATGTTTAAGGGTGCTGATTAAAAAAAGAGAAGAATGAGTATGCCAGTTACAAGGTCTGAGATTAATGCACTTTTCCCAAAATGGGAAGGAGTAAACAAACAACTTACAGTTAGTGGTCTGAGAGAGGAGGACAGGTAAGATACATAGAGGGGTTCTAAGAAGAATCCGAAAAACAAAGTGACATTGAAAACAGTAAACGTAAAGTACAAATTAGGGGAATATGGTTTCTGTCTTTTTGTAATTTTTTTCTCATTTCAGAAAGTATTTGAAGTTGCTTTCAAAAGTCACAGATAGAATAAAGTTCAGCATCCATGTTGGAAAAAGATAAAGCAAATACACTAACCACCCGTGCTAATATAGTTATTATAGAAGAGTATGAAATTTAACTCAGTTTTTTTCTGATAGATTAAAACTAATGGGCCAGTAGTTCTCAGTGTCAAAAGCAGCATAAGGATCAGGAAAGATGTCAACAAAATAACAAAACTGGGTTTGTTCAGAGAAGGTTGTAAGTCACCCAGACAACAAAAGTTTTGCTTGCCTTTGAGGATGGAAACCAGTTACACATGACTGGTAAAGAGTGAATGATACAAATGGGGAGAGGATACTATTGGTAATGAAAATCCTAAAACAGTACATTTCAGTTATTAGAGTAGTCTCTTAAATAAATTCAGAGTAGTCTCTTAAATAAATTCAGTCTCTTAAATAAATTCAGATTTCACTTTTTTTTTAAGATTTTATTTATTAATTCATGAGAGACAGAGGGGGGGGCAGAAGCAAAGGGAGAAGCAGGCTCCCCAAGGAGCAAGGAGCCCAATGTGGGATTCGATCCCAGGACCCCGGGATCATGACCTGAGCCAAAGGCAGACATAACCATCTGAGCTACCCAGGCATCTGGATTTCATTTTTTTTTTTTAAGATGATATTTATTTGAGAGAGAGAGCACAAGCAGGGGGAGGGCCAGGGGGTGAAGCAGACTCTCCATTTAGTAGGGAGCCCAATGGAGTAGGGAGTAGGGAGCCTAGGTGCCCCAGGATTTCATATTTTGGATATGTCCCATTCAAAGCTGCTTAGTCTCAGAGCTATCCCACTCTCCTTTTACTTTATTGGCATTCTCCCTAAAATTCAGTAAAAAAGCTTTCCCTCGTCTTTAAAAAACTCATAAAAATCTGCCCTAGAGGGGCGCCAGGGTGGCTCTGTTTTGAGTGTCTGCTTTCAGCTCAGGTCATGATCCCAGGGTCCTCAGATCGAGCCCCGCGTCAGGCTCCCTGCTCAATGGGAAGTCTGCTTCTCCTTCTCCCATTCCCTCTGCTTGTGTTGCCTCTCTCACTTTGTCTCTCTCTGTCAAATAAATAAAATCTTAAAAAAAAAAAAACTGCCCTAGACCCACTCTCAGATTTGTATTTGTAGAGTGTTTGTAGCTTCATCTAGAAAAGTCCAGTGATGATTGTGGGTGATATACTGGAACTAGGAAAGGAAGAGAGCTTACCTGGACCAAAAAAGAAACCTTTAATTGTTCTGCATGATATTCCTGGATTGAGGAGCAATTTCATTTTGAGTTGATTATTGGAGAGAGTTTTTTAAGCTCACAGGTTCAGAATGGGATTTCTGAGTCTTCATTTTGAAGTTTGACCAACACAAGTAAGATCTAACGAAACCATAACCATCTTTAGTATTTTTTTTAAGATTTTATGTATTTATTTGTCAAGAGAGAGAGAGCACAAGGAGAGCAGCAGGCAGAGGGAGAGGGAGAAACAGGTTCCCCACTTGAGTAGGGAGCCTCATGTGGGGCTCAATCTCAGGATCCTGGGATCATGACCTGAGCCGAAGGCAGACGCTTAACCGACTGAGCCACCCAGGCGCCCCTTTAGTACTTTTCGATTTCTGTGATATCAAATTCGGGTTCTGAAATTTTTCTTTAGAGGCTCCCTGAAGGTTAATGTCATCTGTATTCTAATCTCTGCCCACATGTGGAGCTCTGTCCCAAGTTCCCCTTCCATTATCCCTTTACTGAGTCCTGGACTGAGAGGGCTCTTGCTCTCATACCATTGCGCCCAGATGCCTCTTTGGGGAAATAGTTCGCACTGAATGAAACTTCTCCTAATATATCTAACCATTACTTACTTGACATTGAGACACAAAAATATTAAGAGGGGAAAATGGCAGAAATGATCCCAGAGCCACTTCCTGTGAAGGCACAGGAAACAGAGGTCTTTATTTTCTTTTTCTTTTCTTTTTTTTAAAGATTTTATTTATCTATTTGACAGACAAGGGATCACAAGTAGGCAGAGAGGCAGGCAGAGAGGAAGAGGAAGCAGGCTCCCCACTGAGCAGAGAGCCCAATGTGGGGCTTGATCCCAGGACCCCGAGATCATGGCCCAAGCCGAAGGCAGAGGCTTAACCCACTGTGCCATCCAGGTGCCCCCAGAGGTCCTTTTTCCCTCCTAACTGACCACTTTCAGGCTTTCTTAGCTCCATGATGCTTGGAAGATAGGCATCTGACACATTTTAAAAGCTTGACCTAAGGATAGATATTTCTTTTCTCATCTGTTAATTATTCTTTATTGGGGTTTTGTTTCTTTTTTTAAAAAAGCATATTTTGAACTTCGGAGAGAAAATATCTGGCCTTTGGCCTCTTTATGATCCAGCAGTAGAGTGAATCACTAGACTAGAGACCCATTTCGTAGGAGACCCATTCAGCCACATTGTTTGCTTCCGAAATGAACTTCCTTCTATTTATAAGATAGGAAACAGATAAAAAATATTTATCTCTAAGTACTACATTATATGACCTTATAAATGTTTGTTGAGTAGACATTAAGTCATAAATCATTTCTTTTTATTACCTACCTAAGTATTCATCTGGAGACTGCAGGCTTGAATCTGGCTAGAATTTATCATTGTTCTGAAAGCATACCGATAGTGCCAGAAATCAGGAAAGATCATCTCTTCTAATAATTCACTGGAAAACTCACCTTGGGCAAGTCACTTATCCTCTCTGAGCCAGCTTCCTCAACAAATAGGAGACAGCCTATCTGTTCTCTTGGGCTCCTCTTTACCTTGGGTTCTAATCTGTGGTCCCTTGACTTTGGTCCACACCACGCACATCTGTCGCTTAGCATCCCAGCTCACTAGGAGAATCTGGAGAATAAGACAGGACTCACATTCAAGGATAAAAATTATTCAGGAGCTCAGGTGAACCACAGTGTTCATTCCTTCAGCTAGGTTGGGATATTGGTGTCGTGCCCATGGAGCTGGAGGAAGCAGGGACTGACCTAGACCACATAAATGCAGCAGAGACTTTTACCCACTGAGACTAGAAACTCTAGCCTTGCAGATAGCCTCCCTTTATTTCCTGGTCACCAGGGTATGCAGGTGTCAGAGTGGTTGTCTTAAGAGATGGCACATTCTCTTTGTGTGTGTTTGGTTTTAGCTTTCTAAAGTGAGAACTGTTAGTAACAGCAGGGAATCAGTAATTTTATTCCATTTTTGCTGTGTTCTTAAAAACAACAACAACAAAAAAACATATTTCAACTGAAAACAGAATTTCATTTTCATTGGGTGTTAGAGAACATTTTTTTTTTTTAAGCATTGCATTTCATAAATATTCTAAACAGATTTGTCTGGTGTTCATTGGCTGCTCCTGCCAGAGTCACTGTGTTTTAACTATTTGGAAATTCTCCTATATTTGCTTATAGCTGTCAGCATGTTTACTGTGTTTGTTGCATATGTAATCAGTAAATTGTAATCATTACGAAGCACCTTCCCACAAGATTAATTTTTCATTTCATGTTCATCCCTACATGAAGAAAACTGAACCTCTTCTCATTTCTCCCCTTTTCTACCTCCCCCCTCAACAGTAAAAAGAACATAAGAAAGCAGCGAATGAAAATCTTATTCAATGTTGTTCTTGAAGCTCGTGAGCCAGGTTCAGGCAGAAGACTTTGTGATCTGTTTATGGTTAAACCATCCAAAAAGGACTATCCTGACTATTATAAAATCATATTGGAGCCAATGGACTTGAAAATAATTGAACATAACATCCGCAACGACAAGTATGCGGGGGAAGAGGGAATGATAGAAGACATGAAGCTGATGTTCCGGAATGCCAGGCACTACAATGAGGAGGGCTCCCAGGTAAGATTATGGGGGAATCCTGGGGTGGGCACGTTTTCTTTTCAGTGTTGGTAGTATAATGCATTTTGAGAGACCAGATCTAGAGGCCTCACTTAGGTTGCTTTTCTCAGTGGTTAGCTTAATGCTTTGTCTTTTCTTAATTGTTAAAATGGCAGTTCATTGCAAAGGTTAGATGTTCATACTCTCTGTAAGCTGACATTCTAAATTTGAATCCTGCTCTTCCAGTCCCCGTATGAGTTTCTTATCTTCTTCCAAGCCTCATTCTCCCCGTCTGTGCCCTTGTGATACTGATAGTACTTATGTCAGGGCCGTTGTAGGATTTAAACAAGAGAGCATACGCAGAGCACGTAGCACCCAAATGAAAGCCAGCAACAGTAAAGTCTTTGCTCATTGTTACTACCAGCAATAGCTACACTTCTCTAGGGAAAGTCCACAAAATGGTATGATTATATAAGAATCAGGATGTCCTCAGAAAGGCACCTCTAAGTAAATGATTTTCAGTTCTTTATCAGTGTAGCTACAATACATTCTCCCTTCTTTGATATTTTTGTTTCATATTCTATATCTGTGTTTTTTATTGAAGTATAATTGGCATGTAACTAATAGTTTCAAGTGTACAACATAATGATTTGATATTTACACATATTGCACTGTCGTCACAATAAGTCTGGTTAACATCTGTCACCTTGCATAGTTATAAAATTTTTTTCTTGCGATGACAACTTTTAAGATCTACTCTCTTAGCAACTTTCAAATATGCAGCACAGTATTAATAACTATAGTTACCAGGCTATACACTATATCCTTGTAACTTATTTTATAATTAGAAGTTTGTGCTTTTTGACCCCCTTCATCCATTTCACACGTTCCCTAACCTCGGTGTCTGACAACCGCTGATCTCTCTATCTGTGAGCTTGGGTTTTCTGTTTTTGGTTTTTGTTTTTTCAGAATATAGATGTACGTGAGATGATACAGGTTTGTCTTTCTCTGTCTGACTTATTTCAGCTAGCATAATGCCCTCACGATCCATCCGTTCTGTCACAAATGGCAAGATTTCATTCTTTTTTTATGGCTAAATAATACTCTTCTGTGTGTGTGTGTGTGTGTGTGTGTGTGTGTGTATGTGTGTGTGTGTGTGTTTATCCATTCATCTATGAATGGACACTTAGGTTGCTTCCATGTCTTGTTCATGGTAATAATGCTGCAGTGAACGTGGATGAGGGTGCATATATCTTTTAGAGTTTCCTTTATCTACTTTAAAATCTCCCAGAAATAAAGTAACTTTAAAATCATGTGTTTCCTTTCCTCTTGCTATTACAAAATAAAGTAGGCACTGAGGGTACTTGTGATCAAATTTTCTGTCATAGGGGGATGCAGCTGTAGGGGCCATTAGGTGAGTAACTTTATTTTTGGCTATGTATTACCACCCTTTTTCAGTCTTCAGAGAGAGCCTAACCAGGGATTGTTGCTTTTCACAGATCAGAGGCCAGATTGTGAATTCAGACTGATATTAAATCCCGTTTAACAGTATTTGAAGTATTGCTGTCCAACTATCATATACTTTTTCATTTTTATTTCCCATTGAGCTAAGTCTGCTACCTTGAATGAAGGTCCAGTGCAAGAGAGAGTTGTGAAGAAAGCAACACATGTAATTGTTTTAGAACTTCTGTAAAAACTTGCAGTGATTCTGCTGCAGTAGTTCTAAACTTTAGCATTCATGTCTGCACATTAGAATCACCTAGAAAGCTTAAACAACAAACCATTTGAGGCTAAGGCCCACCCCGCAGAGATGCGATCTGATGGCTCTCTAGTGGTCTCAAGCTTTATGTCTAGTTCCCAACTAGCTAACCTGTGTTTTGAAAACTTCTTTATAGATGAGTGTTCTACTTCAATAGGACATTTTTTAGAAAATAATTTTAAATATATTTATGGAATACAGGTGTACAACGACGCACACATCCTGGAGAAGTTACTCAAGGATAAAAGGAAAGAGCTGGGCCCACTGCCCGATGACGACGATGTGGCTTCTCCCAAACTCAAGCTGAGTAAGGCAGCCTCACGCTCGTTACTTAGTTCAGTCCGTCAAGGGTAGATTCCTGACTCAATGAAATCATGTCTCATTAAGTGGTGAATGTGAACTCACTCTGGCAGGGAGTTTCCTTTCCTCCTCTGAAACGCTCTCTGTATTTTAAGTAGTTCAACTGTGGAACATATGTGGGGAACAGATTATAAAGTCAGAGGTTTTGTTTACTCTCTAAATGCTGTGGCCATTTTGTAAATATTCAGTAGTAAGACTAGGTCTTTTTTTCTATCTCTTACGCCTGCAAGAGTGTAGTGGCAGATTTGGTTTTTTGTATGCTCATTTGCTGAGTACTGGAATTAAAAATGAATCCCAGCAACAGATCTTAGACAGAACTTGAGAAGTTAGAGATGCTCAGCCACTGTGCTGTAAGTTAACTCCCTTGTCTTTGGAGTGTGGTCCGTGGATGGTGATGTTATTAGAACTATGAGGGGAGAAAAGACAACAAAAGCAGTTAATAGCATTGAGCTAAACAAGAGGTTTCTGCCTTATTTAAAATATGTAAATAAAATAAATACTGAGCAAGTTATAATGGTGTTGTCATATAGTCTTTGGAACTACATTTGCTGAAAGGGAGAAAACAAACAGACCCTGCTTTTTTTTTTTTTTAATATGAATTGACTCTAAACTGAATATTGTAATAGTTTTGGGTATGGTTTATTGCTAAATGATGATTCCTTCTTCTTAAGGCATTTATCCTTTCTTGGAATTGTGAAAGCATGCAGGTTTGCAGAAATGTAAACCTTTTATTCTACTTTTTAGGGACACAGTGCCTTTTAAAAATAGAATTAATTCTAGGAGGCGCCTGACTGCCTCAGTCAGTGGAGCATGCAATTCTTGATCTTGGGGTTGTGAGTTCAAGCCCCTCATGGGATATAGATACTACTTTAAAAATTAAGGGACGCCTGGGTGGTTCAGTCGGTTGAGCATCTGAATTGGTTGCAGCTCAGGTCATGATCTTAAGGTCCTGGGATCAAACTTCATTGGGCTCTGTGCTCAGCCGGGGGTGTGGGGGGGTATCTTCTTGAGATTCTAAAGTTCAGAAAAAGGAGATTTTAAGGTGTCATGTTGATCTCCTTTTCATTTCTCTACTTTGTATTATGAAAAGTTTCAAATGTATATGAAGAATGGTACAACAAAGCCCTGTATGTACCAGTTACTCAGAATCTCTCAAGATCGTGCCGTACTTCCTATATCCAGTTTTTTCTCTCCTTTTTTGTTCTGTATTATTTTAAAGAAAATTCAATGTCATTTCATTTCTACATAGTTCAGTGTGCATTTCTATATTTGCAGGCACTTTCTTAAATAACCATGGAATCATTATTACACCTAGTAAAATTAGCAGTTTCTTGGTTTCATCTAATACCTGACACATTTTCAAATTTTACTGATTATCTCATGAATGTATTTTTACAGTTGGTTTCTTCACATCAGGACCTAATTAAGTTCTGTATATTACATTTGATTGTCACGCCCTCTGTTCATAGTCTAGAGCAGGCCCCTCCCTTTTATATCCTCATGCCACTGACTTCAGAAATCAGATCACCTTCTTGTACAGTTTCAAATTTTGGATTAATCAGTTCACTTTCTTATGATATCAACTAACTTTTCCCTGTATTCTTCTCATTTCTTAAAAAATGGTAGTTTATCCAAGAGGCTTGATTAGATTCCTTATCAGCCCAGCAAGGATGCTTGCTTCATAACACAATAGGTTTTCTGCACTTACATTGCATCACATCTTGGAGCAATGTCCGCTTGAGGTAGAAGCTAAATAAGGTCCATATAACCACAGTTGATGGACACTACTTTTAATCTGTAAATCCCCCTCTCAACTTTCTTTTTTTTTTCCTTTGCAGTTTATTTGTTGAAGAAATTGGGGCTATACTGCAGCTTCCCACAGTCTGGGCTTTGCTAATTGCATTCCTTTGCTGTGGTTTATGTGTTCTTGTTTCCTTGGCATTTCCTCTAAATTGGTAGTTGGAGCAAGAGGCTTGATTTAAATTAGATTTAATCCTCATCCCCTCCTTTTGGCACAAAAACCAACTTCAGAGGTGGCGGATGGTCTTCCACTGGGTAGCCCGGTAACAGCTGTTTGTTCTCCCACATGTTAACAGCTATTGATGCTGACTGCGTTAATTCATTGAAGAGGTTTAAAATAACAATAGTCTGATTTTGTCCTACCTTGCTCATTTAGCAACTGGAGTACTTCTGTATAGAGAAACTTTGCCTCATCCAATATTTGGTTACCCAGTAGTACAATTTTTGCTTGTTTGTCTTATTTTGTTTTGGGTTTTTTGAGAGGATAAAAGATAGATTCCTACCCCCCTTTGTTTATCAGTTTCTAAAGCAATGCCTTGCTTTACCAGTATCTGCCAACATTTACCCAGTTTGTCATTCATTTTTATACATCATTAAGAACTACTAAATTTAAACATGTTGCTGGGTTTTAACTCATTGCAGTTGTTGTCCTTATTGATGCTCCTCTTGTCCCAGGCTGGCCACTGTGTTCTACTGACATGACCACATTGACAGATTCTTTACTGCCTTGTGTTTCAAGATGCACAAGGCTTATCCTGTGCCAACTGTGAGTCAACCATTTACTAAGGAGCTACTGGTGTTAGTATTTGAAATATGTATTTCAGAATTATGGCCAATGTAGTCAAACTACATGAGGTTGTACCGCTACTGTCATTGTTGCCAGGATTTTCAGTGGACAAAACTAGGAAATCTTGTGTGTGTTTATATTACATTTAAAGATAAAATACATTGTGAGTTCATACTGATGCTCTTAACTGAGATTATAGCTACAAGATTTTTATTCGTGTTCTGTTTTAATATCTGGGTCTCCTTTTCTCCTGTGATAAAAATCTCAGTTCTTTGGGCACTTGGGTGCCTCAGTCCAATAAGCATCTGCCTTCGGCTCAGGTCATGATCTCAGGGTCCTGGGATTAAGCCCCTTGTTGGGCTCCCTCCTCAGCGGGGAGTCTCCTTCTTCCTCTCCCTTTCCCCCTCCCTCCACTCGTGCTTGCTCTCTCTAATCAATAAATAAAATATTTTTTAAAAGAATCCCAGTTCTCAAGGATGCTGCAGGTGATGGAATTTGAATGTCACATAGCTAGTCATTTGCTTTATTCTATGTTTCACAGCTATCTTAACATGATAGTGCCTATTACTCTCACTAAAAATATGATTACTAAAAACAGTTTAAATTTGTTTCCAGTTTTTTTTGTCCATAAGATAGACTTCACTAGAGACGTGCTAATTAAATTCTTTTACAAATCACTTGGAACACTCCCTTATGATAATGTTTTACCAACTGTATACAAATTTGGGTTCATTTATTTTATTTTATTCATTTAACATTAAATCTCTTCTTTTAGGTAGGAAGAGTGGAATTTCTCCTAAAAAATCAAAATACATGACTCCAATGCAGCAGAAACTAAATGAAGTCTATGAAGCTGTAAAGAACTATACTGATAAGAGGGGTCGCCGCCTCAGTGCCATATTTCTGAGGCTTCCCTCTAGATCCGAGCTGCCTGACTACTATCTGACCATTAAAAAGCCCATGGACATGGAAAAAATTCGAAGTCACATGATGGCCAACAAATACCAAGATATAGACTCCATGGTTGAGGACTTCGTCATGATGTTTAACAATGCCTGTACCTACAATGAGCCTGAGTCTTTGATCTACAAAGATGCCCTTGTCCTGCACAAGGTCCTGCTTGAAACTCGGAGAGACCTGGAGGGAGATGAGGACTCTCATGTCCCAAATGTGACCTTGCTGATTCAAGAACTTATTCACAATCTTTTTGTGTCAGTCATGAGTCATCAGGATGATGAAGGAAGATGCTACAGTGATTCCTTAGCAGAAATTCCTGCGGTGGATCCCAGCTTCCCAAACAAACCTCCTCTTACTTTTGACATAATTAGAAAGAATGTTGAAAATAATCGCTACCGACGGCTCGATTTATTTCAAGAGCATATGTTTGAAGTCTTGGAAAGGGCACGAAGAATGAATCGGTAGGTTTTCCAAGCTATTTCTTTTTGAGAAGTTGTGATTCAATGCAAAACAAAAGAAAATTCTGCTTTGATATACTGTTTCAGCTTAGGTACATGGTTATATTCGGTGGGGTGCTGTTTTGAGTTCTTACCTGGCCACAACATCTAGAGCACAAGCATATGCTATGGGGGAGAGCAGGCACTGCCACATCATCTGGATCTGGGCCCGTGGGAAGGAATACGGGACAATTTGAAGATCTGTTGGAAAGCATAAACTCTTAAAATACAGCCTCTTACAGAACGTGTTTTTTTAAAGGATGAAATGCTTATAATTAGAAATAGTAGTGTGATTTTTTTTAAAGTTTGAGTTCAATCCAAGCATGCTTTGAATAAATTACAATAGCTCTTATGTTGTTGATCTGAGGTTAGCCAATCTAAATTTGATCACCATTTCTAGTTCCTAAAAAGGCTTCTTTTTTTTTTTATATCTCAGATTTCTCACTTTTAAGTGCCTTTTGCAGATACTGAATGTACTAAAAGAAGCCATCAAATTTAAATTTCCATCAAACTTGAATTCCCTTTTAATTTTGATGTGTGTTAAGGCTTTGCCACGCAAGAATGGTATTACTGGCTATTTAAACAATTTCAGTTCAGCAGTTACAGTGTGTCTTCTGTGTGCTTTGAGACTGTCTTGAGGGACTATAAAAAGCTAAAAATACAGACCCTACCTACCTGGAGCTTACAGTCTACTATCTTGAAAGGAGACTTTTAGGCAGTGGGTGTAGAGTAATTCCAGCTGGGGAATCTGGTGAATCCTTCATTTGCTCTGGATCTTGAAAGAAAAATTAGTAACGTTTGCTGTTCCTATTAAGCACCTGCTCTTTGTAAAGCATCATGCAAAACGCTTTATCTAGATCATCTCTAACTCTTATAATAGCCGTTCTAGGTGATAATCTTCCCACTTCGCATTTGAAGAAGTGCACAGACAGAAGTAAGTTGCCTCAAGTCACACAACTAGTAAGTGGGATGGCTCCTCTTGTTCCCTACTGCAGAGCTGGTCACCAAGACACCAGTTAGTGGAGCCCAGCCGTAGATGATCAGGCTGTGCTCTGTGCTTTAAGTCCAACAATTGGGTTAGGACCTGTGCTTAGGGAAACATAATTCCAAGCATGAGACAACATATAACAACTTGCTATGTAGTAAAGATGGTGGAGTAGGAGCTCTGTGCTAGAGTTCTGAAAAGACCTGAGGCATCAGGGGAAAGGAGAATGGGTGGGATATAGATAACACGAGTGGTTTGACTGAAGGCACAGGGTTAGAGAATGAATATGGTCTGTTCAAGAGATAGGGGAGTTGGGGTCATATTGGAGAGGTGCTTGAGTGAGACATTTAGGAAATGGTCCTTAATGTTCAGCAGTGGAGATAGAAATGAATGAAAGAAAGGTAGGGAGACATCTTGCAGTCAAAATTTGCATTCTTTATTTTCACTTATTCAGCAAATGTTAATTGAGTGGCCACCAGTTCTAACCATGTTCTAGATACTTGGGGTACATGAGTGCGCAAGACACAAATTCTGTTTCATGGAGCTTAGACTTCATTTTTGTTCTCAGTTTTCTTAAATAGTCCTTAAGTCTAAAGTCGCTCCTCTCCTCCACTTCTGCCCCGTCCCCATTCCATCTTGGGGTTAGGTCTGTGGGTCTTCCAAAACTGCATTTGACTCTTACAACATTAGCAACTTTGTTTATCTTTAATAGATGATGTGTCTGTTTTAAGAAATGAGCAAATTTGTATCTCTAGGAAATGAGCTCTTTTCATTCTCCCATTGTTGACATGATTTGCTTTGGAAGGTAAGCCTTGAAGGTAGAGTCTTGGGTGCATTTATTTATATGAGGCAGTGATGAGTTTCACCCTTGTCCCCAGAGCCTTTCAGAACTGAGGGAAGCTGTTCTTTATCTTTGTGAATGAAGGTCGTATTATGACTGCTTATGGTACTTAAGCATAGCCCCGTGCTGCTCAGGCAGGGATGCATCATTTCAGTGAGTGATAAACCGTCGTTCTAGCTCTTTCACCAGTAATGAAGATGTATATCTCAAAAATACTAAGTTCATTAATTTAATGAAGCTCGTGGGCACTAGATTTCTATGTTGATCTCCAGCAGTGTTCATGCTTCTTTACACTCACCCCTCTTTACCACTGGCACTCAATATCACTTAGGATCTTACACCCTGAAATAGAAGGAGTCTGAAAGTTCCCTCAGGGGACAGCGGTCTGTCCGTCAGCAGTATTCAGTAACAGCACGGCACCGACTCATGCCAATCAGCCACTGGCTTCCCTCGTCTGCTGGCAGCATTCCTGAATTCAGTTCTCTGACCACCTTACAGAAAGGGGGACCCTTGGGAAGACAAGGACAAGGGAGGCACTAAGAGCTTCCTTTACTCTTAATTATTTCATTTTGCTGGATGTCTGCCTTTTAAAGATTACCCACCAGCTAAGGGGAAAAAGTTATTTTCTTTTTCCATCTTTAGTTTTTGTTCTTTTGCATGCAGGCAACACTGATCCTCTTAGATTAATAAATTCTTCATATTACTTTGTTGAAACAAAACAGGAAAGATAAGTCAGATGTTTAATGGCCGTGTACAGAACTTCCATTACTGAACAGCCTGACCTGATGGAATTACACATCTGCCCTTTCAGTGTAACAGGGGTTGCCAAAAGTGCATTTTCATTTTTAACTTTATACTTAAAATTGTAAGCTCTTATAAAATGAACTTTAACATCAAGTGAACAGTCTTAAGACATTTCTGTTCAGAAAACAGGCATCAAAATAATATCAGAGGAGTTTCTTCCCTTGACCAGTTTTATTTTTATTGCTTTCCTACAAGTATTAGCATTTCTATAACCTAAAAAGATTTTTTAAACCTTTCCAGAAACATTCATTTAGGTTGTTATTGGCAGTGTTTTTCGATTGTTTGCCAGTTCACCTTTGCTGATGGGGAGAAGCATTCCGGAGGCTTCACTAACATTTGATGCTCTAGTGGTGGGTATCAGCAGGCAGCTGACTGGGCTTGCTATGCCTACCCGTGTCCCCCAACCAGAATGTGTTCATAATTGCTGCTAGACTTTGTGGTTACTTTGTGAATCATTTTTCAGACCCTCATATTCCTAGAATTCCTAGAATTACGTTTAAGCCATCCTCAGACCACCGTGGATTAGAGATAGTAAAAAAAATTTCTTCTAGTCTAAATTCTGAAGCTGATTTTACCCAGTCCTCTCCTCTCATTCTGTAAATGAGGAAAGCGTCTTTAAAAAGGTTTCAGTGTGGCAGATCATTTTTTCCCCATCTTTCACTATGTTGCCTCTGCTGGTTCCCCAACATTATGTAGTCATTTCTGGGAAACTGACATGAACACTGACTCTGAGGTTTGTAACCGTTATAGGATGGATGCCCTCGTGACTTTGCAGTTTAGGGTCAAATATTTGCTGGGGCCTATCAGCCTAGGCAAGCATGATAGAGATTCAAAGAGAAGAAAGTGGACATTGCCTAAATCTTTTGTCAATACTTTATATAATGTGTGGGTCCCTCAATTAAGAGAAAGTAAAAATTAATCCAAGGAATAGAGACAAGTAAGTGTCGTAAGGGGTGTGGAACTCAGAGTAGTCCTTGATCATGGCAGCCCCCTTCTGTGGCAAGAACCAACAGATGCGTGAGCCTTGTTTTTCCCCAGAAAACTGTGTGAGGCCTTTTCTTTTACGTGAGCTGTATAAGAAGTGAGCCTTAAGAAAGAGAAAACTAGTGGGTATGAGGCTTGCTGAGGTAAAATGGCACTTCACCTTGTTCTAAAACTTTCAAGGAGATGCCCTCTGTATAGAAGTACCATTATATCCATTAGCGTGTTACAGAAGCATTGGGTAGGGTCCTCCACGTAGCCAGGGTGTGGGAAGGAAGCAGCTTGTGTGTCAACAGGTACTCTTGATGCCCTTATAGGACAGACTCCGAAATCTACGAGGATGCGGTAGAGCTACAGCAGTTTTTTATTAAAATCCGTGACGAACTCTGCAAAAATGGAGAGATCCTGCTTTCACCAGCACTCAGCTATACCACAAAGCATTTGCATAATGATGTGGAGAAAGAGAGGAAGGAAAAATTGCCAAAAGAACTAGAGGAGGACAAACTAAAACGAGAAGAAGAAAAAAGAGGTTGGTTTCTTTTCATTTTATTAAATATGAAGAAATATTTTACTCTGTTCTAGTTCTGGCTCTCCGAGCCAGCTGCGGGGATGAATCCTGTCTATGTGAATGTTGACTCTTTCAGAATGGACATGTTGAGATAGAAATGCTTTTGTCGTCCTTGGTTTGATCAGACCATTAACAACTGAAGTGCTGTGTGACACGGCTGTGGGCCCTAGTATTTCAGGAACGGTCAGTTAGCTCACAGGAGTGGAGCTCACCAGGTCAAAATACTATTAGCAGAAGAAGCCTGGGGACCTGCTTGGAGCTGGGGAGCATTCTCAGCAGTGAGTGCGTCAAGATTCTGCCCTGTCATGAAGCAGGACGGCTTTCCTCCTGCAGACTTGGGCCAGGGGAGATGATATTTTGGTTGAACCACAATACTAGGAGGAAATTTTTATTTTCATTCTGTCAGCCCCAAAATGTTACTTTGAGTTACTTGCTAGGATTTAGAAATATTTTGACAGTGGCAGCTTTTATTAGACATTTGATCATTTCTGGACTCGCTAGAGTCACTGCCATGGCCAGCCTGCTGGCCCTGCAGCCGGTGGTGCTGCTGGTGGCACCAGCGTGGGGCTGGGGCAGCCAGGACCACCGGGACTGGGACATGGCCGCACCACTGCCCCACAGGATGCAGAGCACTAGGCTCACTTCGTCGACGTACTCTGCGACTGGGACGTACTGGCCGCACTCTCCACGGAGGAGGCGGTGCACGGATAGGCCTTGGTTGATGTCTTCTCGCTCAGCACTGGGCCCCCGGGCATGGGCAGCAGCGTGCCCTACTTCTGCCTGAGCCCACTGCAGCAGTCGGCGGGCGGCCGGCAGGAGAATCCACATGCTACAACAACCATGTCTTTGGCATAGACTAACTTCTGCAGGAAGCATGTATTTGATCCCCAAAGTCCCCTCTCTGCTCACATAATACTGTCAGGAACTGTTACTAATGTGAATGAGATGGAAATGGACTTTGCCAGGCATTCACTGTTCATCCAGTACCCTGAGATGAAAACCTGGCCTTCCAGCCATAATTGGTTATTTGCCAAGGTGAGTTTAACCAGCGTCTGGATCCTGGACCACTTTGGTGGACCAAAAGTAGTGACACCTGAAAATACTAGAATGTCACATTTTAGTGAAATAGAATGCAGCAGATTTAACAGCACCAATGGGCTTGCTTAGGATGGTTTATACAGACTTTAATTAAGGGCTTAATGTTTGTCTGTGGAACACTTCCTATGTTAACCAGTTTTCTTTCACATATTGGTTTATTTGCTTGCTTACTTGTTTACAAAGTGGAGTTGGACTGTTACTGGATTTCTTGGAAGATGTGGTTGTTAGTTTTTTTTCATATTTTGAAGCCATTTTCACAGAGGTATGTCTTTCATTATAAGTATTTTTCCTTATAGTTTTTCAGTGGTGCTCCTTTGAAGAGGAGCCAGTGCCAGATTCAGATTGCCACTTGGCATTTGAAGGTACTCAAAGATGTGTCCTTAATTTCCAGAAGCCACTATGCTAGAGAGAGGGCCTGCCTCATCCACGGCCACACCTGCACTGCCCAAGCCCGTGCACCCGCGTATGTGTGGCCGAGACACACATAGAACTTTCTCCTCGTGGTCCATCTGTGTCTAACAGGCCTGTGTGGTATTGATCCAACATGGGACAAAACCATTTCTTACAAAGAACTTCTCTTTTCACTTTTCAAATCTAGAGTATAAATGACCTAGAGGAAAAGAAGCTCAAAAAACATTTCCTGAATTCGATTTCCCCGCCTAAATGGACACAGTATAATCAGTGTCCTCACTCAAAGCATATATATACACACATGTACACTTTATACTATTTTCTATTTTGCCCCCAAATGGGCTTGCAAAAGAAATAAGAAGGATGCAGGGAATTTTGTGTAAGTAATTTCTGGTGTTCTTTTGTAAGTAAAGTTTACCGGACATGGACCAGAGTAAAAACCCCTGCTCCCAAGTGCACTCAGTAGCTTTTTAAGCAGTGCTGCCCTCAGCAGTGGCCTAAGGCTTCCTCAACTGCTGTAAATCTTTAAATAGCTCCCGTGCTGTTACTGCCTAAATGAGGTCATCAGGAAGAAGATAACAGGATTTAAAAAAAAAAAAAAAAATCACATTTCTTCGGAAAAGAAGAAACCATTTGGTTTTATTACCTGTATACATGATTTCAGGAAATGTTACAAGGTCATGAAGAGATGTATCAGGAACCAAGCTGCTGATCCTTAAATGGATAAGAGGAAGGATGTGGAGTACTAGTCGTTATGTTTGAAAACTATTCAGCGAACTAATGTTTTTTGGGGTTTTTTTTTTTTTTTTAAGATTTTATTTATTTATTTGACAGAGTGAGCAAGTACAAGCGGGGGAGTAGCAGGCAGAGGGAGAAACAGGCTCCCAGCTGGGCAGAGAGCCAGTGTGGGACTCAGTCCCAGGACCCTGGGATCATGACCTGAGCTGAAGGCAGATGCTCAACTGAATGAGCCACCCAGGCACCCTAAAGTGAACTTCCTTAAAATCCAGCAAACAGCTTCCCTTTAAGAAAAAATGATTTAGGGGTGCCTGGATGGCTCCATTGGTTAAGACTTTTGACCACGGCTCAGGTCATGATCTCAGGGTTGTGGAATTGAGCCCTAGTTCAGGTTTAGGGAGGAGTCTGCTTGAGATTCTCCCTCTTACTCTGCCCCTCCCGCTGCTTGCTCTCACTCTCTTAAAAAAAAAAAAAGAAAAAAGATTTCTATTAAACTTGGTAAAATTGTTTTTTTACTCAAAATAATTAAAATCATTATTTTACTGAGGAAAGAAGAAATTTGATCATTTCTTACAAGGCTTTTATCATTATTCATTCTTTTCATGAGACAGCTAGCTACCTTTTCTGAGCATTATTGACACACAATGTTACATTAATTTCAGGTGTGTTTCTTATAGAGTTGAGTTCACATACATACCTAGGATTGTGATTTTCCAAGAGTTATGTTAGTCTTTAGCATCACATTTGCTTAGGGCTTTTCTTTCTGTAGGTAAGAAAATAAAATAAAATTGATTTAAAGCAAATTCTCATGCACAATGACGTATGCGAAGAAGAGAAGGGAACCTGATTGGCAAGAATATTTACCACCATAAGGCTAGCTGCACAGAACCCAGCCACTTTGCCGCCAGAGGGGATGTTATCATTTAGGATGGCGATAGTGTATGTGGTTGAGGGGTGTCTTTGCCAGCTAAAAGTGATCAGTACAGAGGTGAATGGGGTAAACCTGCAGCTTTGCTAGTCAAGATTACAGCTGAGGTTGAGGGATATCCTGGAAAGTAGCCATAGAAGGTCTGACACAGCTCTCACATACTCTTGGCTGACTGGAAAACTGTGCCCATGCAAGCAAGATGGAAGAATCTAACGAAAAGCAAAATACAAGGGATACTTGAAAATTAATTACAACTTTGAATGTGTCCCCCAAGCCACATGCACATCAGTTAGCAGAAGGTGAGTCCTTACAAATTTGAGGTGTTTGAGGACAGTCTTCACCTAAATCATTGGCTGACCTTTGGCTAAGCAGACTTTGGTGCACACCTTCATTCCATGTGTCTTCGTATACTTATGTTGAGAGTCTCAGAGGACAGAAGAGAAAGAAAGGAGGAGAAGAATACTTGAAATGGCTGTAAACTTCAAATTTGTTGGAAAACAGTAGCCCATGACTCTAAAAACACCTAAGTAGACACAAGGAGAACCACCTCTAGTTACATCTGCTGAAAGAAAAATCTTGAGAACAATAGTATGGTAATGGCTCCGAAGAAATAATGGAGGTCAGAAAGCAGTGACATGATACTCAAAGTGCTAAAAGGGACAAGAACTGAATAAACCAGTATAGCCAGTGAAACTATCCTTCAAAAATGAAGCTGAAATGAGACATTCCTAGATAAACAAAAACAGAATTCACTGCTGGCAGATCTTCTCTGTAAGAAATACCGAAGGAAGAGCTTCAGCCCAAAAGAAAACAACACCAGATGGTTGGCTCGAATCCACAGGAAGGACTGAAGAGTAGTGGAAATGGTAAATTTGTGGGTAAATATAAAAGTCTGCCTATATTTTTCACTTTTCTTCTCTCAGTTTCTTCCAAAAACATTAGGATTGTTTAAAGAAAAAGGTACAACCTCATTATTAGGTTTACAGTATTTATAGAAGTGTTATATATGACAATAGTAGCACAAAGGAATGGAGCTCTTTTGGAGCAAAGACACACTAGTTAACAAAATCAAGTTAGGATCAACCTGAAGTAGATGGTGATAAGTTACAGATGCATATTGTAATGCCACGAAAAACAAATAGCAGTAAAAACCCAACAGAGGAATTAAAGTGCTACACCAGAAATACTTGCTTGGCACAAAAGAAGGCAGTAAAGAAGGAAAAGAGAAACAAAAAACATAAGATATGTAAAAAACAAATAACAAAGGGCAGACATGAATTCAGTCATATCAATAAGTAACTTACAGAGGTGCCTGGGTCGCTCAGTCGTTAAGCAGCTGCCTTCAGCTCAGGTCATGATCCCGGGGTCCTGGGGTCCAGCGCCCACATCAGGGTCCCTGCTCAGTGGGGAACCTAATTCTCCTTCTCCTCTGCAGCTCTCCCTGCTTGTACTCTCTTGCTCTCTCTGTCAAACAAATAAATAAAATCTTAAAAAAAAAATTACATATTATGAGTAGACTAAACACTTGGATCAAATTGCAGACTGAATTTTATTTTATTTTTTTTAAAGATTTTATTTATTTATTTGACAGAGATCACAAGTAGGCAGAGAGAGAGAGAGGAGGAAGCAGGCTCCCCGCAGAGTAGAGAGCCCGATGTGGGGCTCGATCCCAGGACCCTGGGATCATGACCCGAGCCAAAGGCAGAGGCTTTAACCCACTGAGCCACCTAGGCGCCCCTGCAGACTGAATTTTAAAATACCTAACTCTATGCTGGTCTGTAAAGGA